CTTCACCCTCATTGTCATTGTATCCTTTCAAACTCAAAGTGCTAGAGTACAGAACCAAAAGAACAAAAAAAATGTCACTGTCCAAATAATTATGGAGCTCACTGTATGTATATATATACAGTGGGGAAAAAAAGTATTTAGTCAGCCACCAATTGTGCAAGTTCTCCCACTTAAAAAGATGAGAGAGGCCTGTCATTTTCATCATAGGTACACGTCAACTATGACAGACAAATTGAGAAAACAAATTCCAGAAAATCACATTGTAGGATTTTTAATGAATTTATTTGCAAATTATGGTGGAAAATAAGTATTTGGTCACCTACAAACAAGCAAGATTTCTGGCTCTCACAGACCTGTAACTTCTTCTTTAAGAGGCTCTTCTGTCCTCCACTTGTTACCTGTATTAATGGCACCTGTTTGAACTTGTTATCAGTATAAAAGACACCTGTCCACAACAGTCACACTCCAAACTCCACTATGGCCAAGACCAAAGAGCTGTCAAAGGACACCAGAAACAAAATTGTAGACCTGCACCAGGCTGGGAAGACTGAATCTGCAATAGGTAAGCAGCTTGGTTTGAAGAAATCAACTGTGGGAGCAAATATTAGGAAATGGAAGACATACAAGACCACTGATAATCTCCATCGATCTGGGGCTCCACGCAAGATCTCACCCTGTGGGGTCAAAATGATCACAAGAACGGTGAGCAAAAATCCCAGAACCACACGGGGGGACCTAGTGAATGACCTGCAGAGAGCTGGGACCAAAGTAACAAAGCCTACCATCAGTAACACACTACGCCGCCAGGGACTCAAATCATGCAGTGCCAGACGTGTCCCCCTGCTTAAGCCAGTACATGTCCAGGCCCGTCTGAAGTTTGCTAGAGTGCATTTGGATGATCCAGAAGAGGATTGGGAGAATGTCATATGAAACCAAAATAGAACTTTTTGGTAAAAACTCAACTTGTCGTGTTTGGAGGACAAAGAATGCTGAGTTGCATCCAAAGAACACCATACCTACTGTGAAGCATGGGGGTGGAAACATAATGCTTTGGGGCTGTTTTTCTGCAAAGGGACCAGGACGACTGATTCGTGTAAAGGAAAGAATGAATGGGGCCATGTATCGTGAGATTTTGAGTGAAAACCTCCTTCCATCAGCAAGGGCATTGAAGATGAAACGTGGCTGGGTCTTTCAGCATGACAATGATCCCAAACACACCGCCCGGGCAACGAAGGAGTGGCTTCGTAAGAAGCATTTCAAGGTCCTGGAGTGGCCTAGCCAATCTCCAGATCTCAACCCCATAGAAAATCTTTGGAGGGAGTTGAAAGTCTGTGTTGCCCAGCGACAGCCCCAAAACATCACTGCTCTAGAGGAGATCTGCATGGAGGAATGGGCCAAAATACCAGCAACAGTGTATGAAAACCTTGTGAAGACATACAGAAAACATTTGACCTGTGTCATTGCCAACAAAGGGTATATAACAAAGTATTGAGAAACTTTTGTTATTGACCAAATACTTATTTTCCACCATAATTTGCAAATAAATTCATAAAAAATCCTACAATGTGATTTTCTGGATTTTTCTTTCTCATTTTGTCTGTCATAGTTGACGTGTACCTATGATGAAATGTACAGGCCTCTCTCATCTTTTTAAGTGGGAGAACTTGCACAATTGGTGGCTGACTAAATACTTTTTTGCCCCACTGTATATATATATATACATTTCAGATTCTTCAAAGTAGCCACCCTTTGCCTTGTTGACAGCTTTGCACACTCTTGGCATTCTCTCGACCAGCTTCACCTGGAATGCTTTTCCAACAGTCTTGAAGGAGTTCCCACATATGCTGAGCAGTTGTTGGCTGCTTTTCCTTCACTCTGCGGGTCCAACTCATCCCAAACCATCTCAATTGGGTTGAGGTCGGGTGATTGTGGAGGCCAGGTCATCTGATGCAGCACTCCATCACTCTCCTTGTTCAAATAGCCCTTACACAGCCTGGAGGTGTGTTGGGTCATTGTCCTGTTGAAAAACAAATGATAGTCCCACTAAGCGCAAACTAGACGGGATGGCGTATCGCTGCAGAATGCTGTGGTAGCCATGTTGGTTAAGTGTGCCTTGAATTCTAAATAAATCACAGACAGTGTCACCAGCAAAGCACCCCCACAACATCACACCTCCTCCTCCATGCTTCACAGTGGGAACCACACATGCGGAGATCATTGGTTCACCTACTCTGCGTCTCACAAAGACAAAGGACAGATTTCCACCGGTCTAATGTCCATTGCCTGTGTTTCTTGGCCCAAGCAAGTCTCTTCTTCTTATTGGTGTCCTTTAGTAGTGGTCTCTTTGCAGCAATTCAACCATGAAGGCCTGATTCACGCAGTCTCCTCTGAACAGTTCATGTTGAGATGTGTCTGTTACTTGAACTCTGTGAAGCATTTATTTGGGCTGCAATCTGAGGTGCAGTTAACTCTAATGAATTTATCCTCTGCAGCGGAGGTAACACTGGGTCTTCCTTTCCTGTGGCAGTCCTCATGAGAGCCAGTTTCATCATAGCGCTTGATGGTTTTTGCGACTGCACTTGAAGAAACTTTCAAAGTTCTTGAAATTCTCGGGATTGACTGACCTCATGTCTTAAAGTAATGATGGCCTGTCATTTCTCTTTCCTTATTTAAGCTGTTCTTGCCATAATATGGAATTGGTCTTTTACCAAATAGGACTGTCTTCAGTATAGCACCCCTACCTTTTCACAACACAACTATTTGTCTCAACCGCATTAAGGAAATAAATTCCACAAATTAACTTTTAACAAGGCACACCTGTTAATTGAAATGCATTCCAGGTGACTACCTCATGAAGCTGGTTGAGAGAATGCCAGAGCGTGTGCAAAGCCGTCATCAAGGCAAAGGGTGGCTACTTTGAAGAATCTCAAATATATTTTGATTTGTTTAACACTTTTTTGGCTACTACATGATTCGGTATGTGGTATTTCATAGTTTTGATGTCTTCACTATTATTCTACAATGTAGAAAATAGGAAAAAATTAAGAAAAACCCTTGAATAAGTAGGTGTGTCCAAACGTTTGAGAGAGAGCGAAATCCAACAGTGTGCGGGCGGGAAATTACTTATATTTAATCACCACCACCAGACCCCTAAGATTATTAGGGGACATGAGGATTTAACAGAAGGCACTGTCACAAAAGCAAAGTCATAGAAGTAAAATCACAAGAACATGTCACAAAGGTGATGTCACAGAGATAATCATCAGGGCCCAGTTTTTCTCAAGTTATCTGGATTTCGGCTGTCAGACAGGATTAAATGCATAGAAATAGAATGATAAGAACGAGTCCTCATTCAAATCAATGATTTGTCGGTTCTATTCATTTTATTTCTATGCATTTAATCCTATGTAATATGGAGAAAAAAAAGTCACCTCTGTAGCAGTGGGGACAGTCAGAGAGATAATCACCAGGTAAAGTCACCTCTGTAGCAGTGGGGACAGTCAGAGCGAGAGATGGCTCCACCCAGTGCCATATTATTTTCCTGTAGTGATGTATACTGTATCCCTTTACATGGCTCTGGCTCCCCCAGGTGGCCAAACAGGAATTGACCAGTGAGAGGGTCATTCCCAAGCCTATCAGATCTACAAGTGTGCCTATAGGGAGTAGGGGCAGGGGGTAGTGCCTTGGGACTAGGGGGCCATTTGGAACTCAAAAAGATCAAATACACAGACACATAGCCGTGTTCCATTAAGTTTAATTTCTTTGTGATACAAAACTCAACTTTACAGCCCTCCAGAGAAAGCTGGCATTACCTTTATATCAAAATATACATGTTGGAATCCACGTTTGTTACCTATATATCAAAATATACATGTTGGAATGAAATTGGATATATAATCCAAATCACTGTGGTACAAAAACACTAAATATAGACAGACAAAAACCCTCCCACTGTTTCATGACATCACATCCTGTTGACCCCTGACCACAATAAACCCCAAAATGGAAAATAAAAGCAACAACCGTTACCAGGACAGGAATACAGCACTACCTCACAGCTATATCATCAACTAGGTCAACATACAGTATATACTCAAGCTTAAGTACTCTACCAACATGGAGGAATTAAACTGTAATTAAACAAAAATGGGACAAGAAACCAAATATCACAAATTCAATTTATAACTCGTTCAAAATTACTATTTTTAAATCTAGTGGCTGACTGATTAGGTATAAAATGAAAACATAAAATCAAATCCCTAGAGGCGGTCTTTCAATTTGAACCATATAATCAAAACAATGTGAGAAAATAGAATTTAGAACATCAGTGTCTTTTAAACTGATAAGGATTATTTAAGTAGCAGGGGTGGTAGGTACTTTGGTCCTCAATAACATCAACCATCAATAGCTACATGAAACCCTTTAATCTACAGAACAATCTATAGCAAAAGCAATATAAAGACAGGCAGCGCCAGAACAAAGGTAATACATTTGTGTTGTAGGCACTAAATATCTATGGCTGTATGAAATAAACTGGAGTATTGCGCATGTGTGTGTGTATTATATTAGGGGTGAAAAAGGCACTAAAAACTAAATGCTGCATGATTTTAACTGGCACCTCTGGAGCAAGAATTAAGACTTGAGGCACAGTGACTGGTAGATATCAAACGGTACACGGTATAGAAAATGATGAGTATAGAACTAGAACGACTAATGTTACAAAAATACAATTGAATGCATAGTGTACATCTAGAAATCAAAAGGGAAGACCACAGCCATATATTTAAAATCAAAACGTTGATATTCAAACAAAAAAAGGCCAATCGTATCAAATCAATGTAATAGCATGGAAAGGCTAGCCGGCTGGTCTGGGTAAGGCACTAGACTGTTGTGGAAAGGCATTTTGTTAGATCAATATGACTAGTGGTGAAGATCCCAAGGACAGACTGTAGAAACAGAAAACATTAATCAATTGAATATATCATAAACAAATCAATGGATTTTTTTTTTTTTTGTATATCAAATGGAAACAAGAAAACAATCTAGAAACAAAGACTCGATGTGCATTCTGAAGAGTATAGAAACAGAAATACTAGATGTGCATCTTGGAGAGTTCTGTGAGTTTCCCTCCATAGAAGTCAAACTACTAGAATAAAATATGAACCGATTACATCCATAGTATACGTAAATAATTGTGTAAAAATAATGATAAAACATAAAAAATGTAAGATAATAACTAAGGAATGATTAAGTGTGTCTCGTGTGGAATAAGACTTGCCATACAGACGACGTGGAAGGCATTCTGATAAACAGGTTTGGTCTATACTCTGAAGTTACAGTCGTGTGTGTGTGTGTGTGTGTGTTAGATGGTAGATTTGGAGAAAGACACTCTGAGGTGGTGGTTATCTCCCAGGTCATGGTTGTGGAACTCAATGAGACTCTCAACAGCCTCCTCCACTGAGCTCATCTGGATCAGAGCCATCTTACGGTCCTTCCTATACACACACGAGGAAAGAGGATTCACTCTATTTCATCAGGTAGTGATGCCATATAGACCATTATTACAACATCGGGTAGTGATGCCATATAGACCATTATTACAACATTGGGTAGTGATGCCACAAAGACTATTACATCATTTGGTAAAGATGTCATAAAGACAAGCACATCATTAGGTAGTGATGTCAAAGGCTAGTACATCATGAGATAGTGATGTCATAACAGTTGGATGTTGAGACTTACTGGAAGAACTTGAAGGCTGTAACTGAAGCTCCTGAACTGCTGAACAGTGCCTTCAGATCATCCTCTCCTACTGCAGGACTAGAGAGAGAGAAAAATAGAAATCATTACCAGAGAAAGCAAAAGGACACTTTCAAACTGAAAGGGGATGGGGGTGTGTGTGTGTGTTCGTACGGTATGTTGGAGAGGTGCAGTGTGCCAGAGGGAGGGTAGATGTTGTTGTAGTTTTTGGAGCCAGGCTTCTTAAAGCGGTGGAGAGGAGAGGTGGCATAGTCCTTAGTCAACCCCTGGTCCTCATGGCCTTGAATAGGATCGAGTACAACATGAAATAACAACGTCATGACATAACAGTAGTTCATGTTAGACGGCCCATACCTGCTCTGGGCAGCTGTGTCTTTAGGTATGGTAGTGTGTGTACATACCTTCTCTGGGCAGCTGTACGGTGGTGTGTTTAGACATGGAGACACGTAGAGACCTGCCATGGAGACGAACCCCGTTCAGGTGGCTCATCGCTGAGGAGAAGACAAGACAGTCAAACACCAGAACACACACGTGCTATTAATTACTTGAACACACACAATAAACACAGGAACACACACAGTACCTAGCTGAGCCTGTGTGCCGTCAGCCATCTGGACCAGAGCGTTGTCCTTCTTATTGAACAGAATCTTCACTCTCATCACGTCGCCATACACACCTGGAGAACACACACAGGTTAAACACAGCACACACTCCAAATCAGAAGAATTTTTCATGAATAAAGACTTAGTTGTGATGTCAGTGCTGTAATGTGATTGTCCTGATCAACAGCAGACAGACTACTGTAATGCCCAGACAACTGGTTCTATAGTACGACACTACTCAGTTTCTAGCCATTGAAATGAAAGGACTGATTCAGACTGCTAACATGTAAAGGAGAGCTTGGATTTCTGATTCAGAGACAGACAGACCAACCAACAGGCAGACACAGGCCAACAGGCAGACACAGACCAACAGGCAGAGACAGGCCAACAGGCAGACCACAACATGAAAACCAGCCCAGGTAACAGACAGTTACTATAGAGTAAGATAGGGTACCGACCACAGTAGATTCAGTACCAGTTGGTAATTAAATAAATATTTAAAGTGAAACAGATTAAAGAATGATAAATAATAATAAACATAAATACTTTAGGTCAATATAAGGGTAAATGAAGAACTGACTGAATGAGGTAGGTATAGTCAAAGGTACAGTGATGATATAATATTATTGGTAACAGTAGGTAAATATAAAATATGAAGTCAAAGGGAAACGAAAGGCTGATAACATACCAAAGAGAATAAAGAGGCAGTTTGGTGTAACGCTCTTTATAAACAGCAGGGGGGGGTAGAGGAACCAGGGACGGGGAGAGAGAAAGAGGGAGGGGAAAGGGGTAAAGTGGAGGAGGAGGAGAGTGGAGTCAGGGATGGAGGGATGGAGTCCAGCAGTCAGCAGCCAAGAGGTCCACGGGAGGATCACATGGAGAAGAGAGAGATAGAGGGAGAGAGAGATAGATAGAGAGAGGGAGAGAGAGATCGAGAGAGAGAGATAGATAGGGAGATGGAGAGATAGATAGGAGAGAGATCGAGAGAGAGAATGATGAGAAGAAAGTAAGATGGCAGAGGAGTGAGTTTTTATAAAGGGCAAAGAGAAGGATGAGATGGAGGGAGAAAGAGAATAAAAGAAAGAAAGGAGGTAAAGAAGAAAAAAAACAAGGTCAGTAAACACAGAGAGAATAGTGTCTAAATGAAAACACTGTCACTATGGCAACACTAGGAGGAGAAAAGAAAGACAGATTAACAATGAAACAGTACAGGCCTGATAATACAGTACAATAACAGAAAAGTATTATTGTGTCTCCAGCAACTCAAGAATAGACAAAAATGAAGCCATGAAATGAAAGATAACAGAAGACTGTTAGTTATAAACTCATTTAAAGGACTCAGATGAGAAGTCTACTACGGTGTGTCTGTGAGAGAGAAAGAGATAGAGAAAGTGTGCGTGGGTAGTAACAGTCCTGACCTCTGGGTTGAGGTTGCTGACCAACAGGACGCCAGCTTGTCCTCCTCCACCGCCGAGGACTTGTAGGCCGAGACGACTAGCGGCCATGCCCCCTGGACCCATACCCAATGACGCCAAGGCACCGGGCATAGACAGACCTAGACACACACACACACATTATCTCTAGCACCGGGGCCAACCCGTGCAGCTGGAGTATACCGACCGACGATTTGACAATATAGGACTTCTACTAAGTAGTAATAGCTTTCTAATAAATGGAGTAAGAATAGATTTCTAGTGGGCTGTAGGTAGAGTAAACCAGCTAACTGTGTGTTAACGTGAGGATATACCTGCAGCCTGCTGTAGAGTAAAGGCCTGGGGGAATCCGTGTCCATAAGGAGACGCTGAGATCAGACCTGGAGACCCTGGAAAGAGACAGACGGTGGGAGAGAAAGAGAGAGAGGGTGGGAAGGGAAATTTCAGAGTCAGTTTGACCGTCTCCAGAAGAGCACCTTGATAGAAATGTGCTAGCTCCAGGTACAAAAAAGGTTGCGAAACCGCTGGTCTAAAGTGTGTTACCAAAGGCAGCAGCCATAGCGTGCTGGTCCATTCCAGGCTGAGGGTTGTGTTGCTCTCCACTAGAGAGGTCAGGTCTGGTGTAGTCACGGCTCTTATCGTTGTTAAACTTCACGTTGAGGCTGGTCAGCTTAGAGAAACTCACCCTCAGAGTACAGCAGCCGTTATAGATGTTCTGACCGTCTAGAGACTGCAGAGACACAGAGGGATTAGGGGTGTGTGTTGTGTAGAGGTGTGTGTGTGTTCAGGCAAGTCCATTTACAGTATCCATTATTGATGTTCTGACCATCTGGAGACTGCAGCGACAGAGAGATTGAGAAATCAGAGGTTTATTGAGGTGTGTATGTACCATTTTGGTGTGCTGTGCAGTCATTGGGTCAGCGTATTGGACCAGAGCCTGGAACTGGTTGTTCTTAGTGAAGGTGATGATCTTCAGAACAGACCCATACTTGGAGAAGATCTACAGGGGAGAACACACACAGGTTACATCCCTGCTACAGACATTTTGACTTACACCAACGAGAAAAGGTAACAATTTGAACACATTCATGACTAAGAAACACTGGTGTGTGTACCTGGTGCAGGACTTCCAGTGTGACGGGGTAGAAGAGGTTTTCTACTATGACTCTAAGGACAGGGCTCTGGGTGGCCATTCCTCTGGCTCCCATCTCTCCCCCTCCGACTGACATGGTAGCGCCCATCCCACCCCCCATACCGGACATGGTAGAGCCCAACATGGTGCCACCCTGGACAGCATTCACCGCCTGCAGTGCTGCCTGGACTCTCTGGGGAGGGGGGGGGGGGGCAAATATACACTGTTATTCCAACATTTTCCCAACGTCACAAGCTTGCCAGTAAGAATGTCAGTGTACTGTGTGCACTTTACTGTAACCTCTACATATGACAAATAAACGTTGATTTGACGCTTTACAAATGTGCTACGGACATACAAGTTAGTGAGTCTCATATTAGCATGGGTCAATGTGTCCTCTTACGACTTGGTTAGGCGAGTTGTCAGTCTTGAGTTCCTTGTGGTTGCTGTACTGCATGAAGACAGGCTGCTGTCTGATGAGAGGGGTGACCGTAGCGTAGTAGTTCACCATGGTCTGAGCCTGGTCCACACTGTTCATCTCCAGGAACGCCTACACACAAAAAAAAGATCAGCCGGGGAAGGTGTGTGGGGACACCGTGTGTGTGTGCCTGCGTGTGAACAGCTTTATGGTAGAGGATCTTTAGTGTGTGTGTGAATGCATTTATGGTAGAGGGTCTTTAGTGTGTGTGTGAATGCATTTATGGTAGAGGACCTTTAGTGTGTGTGTGAATGCATTTATGGTAGAGGACCTTTAGTGTGTGTGTGAGAATGCATTTATAGTAGAGGGTCTTTAGTATGCGTGTGTGAATGCATTTATGGTAGAGGATCTTTAGTGTGTGTGTGAATGCATTTATGGTAGAGGTCCTTTAGAGAGAGAGTGTGTGTGTGAGAGAGTGAATGCATTTATGGTAGAGGATCTTTAGTGTGTGTGTGAATGCATTTATGGTAGAGGATCTTTAGTGTGTGTGTGAATGCATTTATGGTAGAGGATCTTTAGTGTGTGTGTGAATGCATTTATGGTAGAGGACCTTTAGTGTGTGTGTGAGAATGCATTTATAGTAGAGGGTCTTTAGTATGTGTGTGTGAATGCATTTATGGTAGGGGATCTTTAGTGTGTGTGTGTGTGAATGCATTTATGGTAGGGGATATTTAGTGTGTGTGTGTGTGAATGCATTTATGGTAGAGGATCTTTAGTGTGTGTGTGAATGCATTTATGGTAGGGGATCTTTAGTGTGTGTGTGAATGCATTTATGGTAGGGGATCTTTAGTGTGTGTGTGAATGCATTTATGGTAGGGGATCTTTAGTGTGTGTGTGTGAATGCATTTATGGTAGGGGATCTTTAGTGTGTGTGTGAATGCATTTATGGTAGGGGATCTTTAGTGTGTGTGTGAATGCATTTATGGTAGGGGATCTTTAGTGTGTGAATGCATTTATGGTAGGGGATCTTTAGTGTGTGCGCGTACCTGGTTCTTTCCCTTCATCATCAAAAGGTTGGTGACCTTCCCGAAGGGCATTCCCATGCTGATGACCTCAGAATCCTGGATGTCCCCGGGCAGCTGGCGCAGGTGGATGACACGCGATGGAGCACTGGGGCTCCGCATCTCACCTTTGAACTTCTTACTGTCGTTACCGTTGGCTACAAACACACAAACACCTTTTTATTTAACTTATTACTCTTAGTAATAATAATAAACTCTTAGCACCATTAGCTACTAGAGAAAACAGCACAGAACATTCTGATTAACACACATTACCATTAGCTACTAGAGAACAGCACAGAACACTGATTAACACACATATTACCATTAGCTACTAGAGAACAGCACAGAACATTCTGATTAACAGACACATTACCATTAGCTACACACACACACACATACCTGGGGTCATGATGTAGGGGGAGAAGAGTTCATCTGATCCCCTCTGGAAAAGAAAGGAACATTCACAATGATCATAACCACATACACCATGGAGACAGAGAGAGACAGGCCTAACTGCTTCATAGAGTTGGTGAATGTTACAGAGATAGCTGGGTTGTATTTACTAAGCACCAACCAGAAGAAAACCCTGAACATGCTCAACAAACTCGTTTTCCATTTTCTGTTGCAAAAACTTTCGCTACGTGCACTAATGTGCACCAACGAATACGACCCTGGTAAATGTATTAGAGTTATGGCTGGAGAGGAGCAGTCAGTCACACAGATGGTCTTGCTCAGCCAGACTACAGTTAATGAAGCTGCTCTGTGTCAGTCAGTCAATGGTGCTCATGTCTGGAGTGGCCCAGCAGCCTCTCTACAATACAGCTACTGTTACAGCCAGGCTAGACTGACTGGGACATCAGAAAGACAAAGAGAAGACACTCATGCTAACAGCACTCAGACACACAGCCAGAGAGGAGAGAGAGACTAACCAGAGTTTTAGCACAGAAGACAGGGGTAAAGACATAGAGAGAAAACAAAGATATTAAATTGTGAATGAAAAGACGCCTACCTTGGTACCCACTGAGACACTGGGGAGAGAGAGAAAAGGAGGGTTACTCGTTTGAGTTACTCCAAAGAAGGCAGGATGCATTTTCCTAGAAGATCAACCATCAGTAAATCAGTACATCAATCAACATTTTGCGTTAGATTTTTAGATTGATTGTAAATATAAAATCTATCAGGAGACTTACTCTATGTCTGTGACGTAGCCAGGTCCCATAGGATACAGATCAGCATCTAACTTGTGTCTGCTGAGACAAAGGGGGGAAAAGAGAGGAGACGGGGAAATGGAGGAGGAAAGAGGAAATTCAGTTACTAACTTTATGGAAGTTCATAGTTAGCTAGAAACTGAATTGACTCAATAAAGTTGCGTTAGTTCATTTCCTTGAATTGAAATGTCCCCAGAGCAGCTAATATCCATAGAGTTGGAAGAATTTACCCTAATCCTGAACACACAACATTCGCCTTCCACAAACACGAGCGCAAATATGGAATGCGGAAACTAGCTACAAAGACACGTTGATTCAAGATGGGCGTTTTTTTTTAAACTAAGTTTGGCAATACATTTTAAGGTGGTTACTTTCGTCTACCTGAAAAACTGCAACTAGCGTTTTTTCTGTTATTTGTAGTATAATAAGTTAAAAACAACCGTTAATAAAAGTCTTAACTTCAACTAGTTCGCATCTCTTCCGGACACGCTCACGCGCAAACAATGCTAACGTTAGCTAGCCTTGTTGAAAGTCTCAAGCATCATCTCGTCTCAAACTAAACGTTAAACTACTAGAAAACACACAAATATGGTAAACAGATTGCATAACAACATGGCTGGATATATAAAAAATCAAACTACGGTTAGATTATTTCAGTTTTTTTTCGACATAAAACTACATATTTTTCACTCACCCTTCCATCGTTCGATATAATCCACAGGTCTCTGGAGCGGCGGCAGATTTCCTTGATTTTCATACAAAATGGCTGAATACACCGAGGCGTTTGTTGATTGGTCCAGGTACTTGGAAGAACCCGAAATAGGCGGGCCCTTACACCTAGCATCGCGATTTGATTGGTTCGTAAAAGGGTGGGGATAACATTCTCTTAAAGTTCTCGGCCGAAACTTGACCAAAATCACTGTGAAACCATACCCTTGCTTTGCATTTGTTTACCTGGAAAAATAACGAGGAATGGTTTTCATTGACACACATTGATTTATTATGTTCTAGTATTAGATAGCTGACTCGTAAACCTTTGCAACTAAACAATGAATGCTGCTTCCTTCCTGTTTCACAATCAGTTCATGTAGTTCAGAAAATACAAATTCCATACAGGGTTGTAGATCATGCATTGGCCAACAGATGGCATAATTTGTCTATAACAGGGCTGACTGAGGAGGAGCAGCTGTGTGATTTGGTTTACTATGGGACTCTGGACCAGACCTGCAGGGTCAAAATGTCAACATTCTTCATACTTCAGCAGCAGATTAGCATGCTGGATACAATGGAAACCAATGGAATAGTCATTTAGGTACAAACTCCACGCTGGGTAAACAAAATCAACCACACATCAATCCTTCAAAAGTATATCACATACTTGACCCAGGTGATTTTTTGCATGTTTTTTTTTAGTATTAAGTGGTTTGAAACAGTTAAATGCATTAAAAAAAGCAGAGGTAATCTATGGTGTGTGGATCTGACCCATAAACGACCCCAGCTAACCCAAGACCATCACACTCCCTGGTTCCAGCGAGAGATCTGTAATTTCTCTCTCTCTTGCTCCTCTCTCTCTCTCCCCCTAACCCCACCTTCTCTCTCCATCTCCCTCTCCCCCCTATCTTCTCTCTATTTCCCTTCTTTCAACATATCCTCTCCAGTCTCCCTTCTCTCTCTCTCCCTCCTCCCTCTCTCATCCCAGACACTACCCTTTCTCTTTCCCCTAGTGTACACTGTAGAGCAGGGTAATGGAACACACAGACACCAGAGAGACTGGGAATGGAAGGTTTATTCTGTTGATGGCAGGTTTCCCCTTCCCTTCAATCCCAATAGAACCCATTATTACATTCATGTTAAGCAATATGTCGTGATGATGAATATAGTTATCAATGATACTGATCAGACCTGATGAGGAGTATTACAATCAATAACAACACTAATCAGAGTTAGTTTTAATGCTACATCAGAAGATTCAACATCACTGACTCAACAAAATTCATAACCATCAGCATTAAAACAATGGCTGGGTTTGACTCAAACAGTGAACAGTGAACCAGCCATCCTTTTTTGAAAATAAAAAGGAAATAGCGAAATGTGTTTATGAGTTGCACAGTGTCATAGTGAGTCTAATGAGGAGATTAGTAGAGATCAATAGAGATCAATAGATGACTAGACGTGAGTAGAATATAAAATACTTGAGATGATGAGTTAGAGACAGAGATGATGAGTTAGAGATAGAGATGATGAGTTAGAGACAGAGATGATGAGTTAGAGATAGAGACGATGAGTTAGAGACAGAGATGATGAGTTAGAGACAGAGATGATGAGTTAGAGACAGAGATGATGAGTTAGAGATAGAGATGTTGACATGGGATGGACAGTTTAAAACAGAGATAATGATGTTATCTGAGATGTACCAGCTGACATGATGTGGTTGATTGGTTGCTTGATTCCTTGATTAATTGGTTTACATATTGATTTGTGATGATGGTACAAGCTTGCATGCAGTGTGGCTGGGTACGATTTGGCAGCAACCAAACAAATAAATACATTGTATAAAACTTGATATCAATATATTTGAATACTGTTCACACTGTAAAATTATATTACAGAGACAATATAATATGAAACTGAATGATAAATATTTGATACACAGAGAAATATACAAAATGTATGTCTTCTTCATATTCTGGACTAAAATACAATGATATAAATTTTCCAGATGGCCCCGATAGCAGAAACATTACAATACAAAGACCTGCTACATTTTCTTTACAACAATAACGTGACGGCACATCCAGTTCAACAATAAAGACAATATGAATAGAATAGAATACAGATATACACACAGAATACATTATAAATGTCAAGACAGGAAAATATAAAAATAGCAATCAAAATAACAGAATAATCCATATCAGAAGAAATACATCGTAGTAAATAGTAGTACTATAGCAGTACACAGTGAGGGAGTTTTTGTTTGATCAGTCTGGAGGTACTAGCTGCATCTGAAATAGCACCCTTTCCCATATAATACTACACTGTGGTAGCATTTTGGCCCAAAGTAGTCTAGGGAATAGGGTTCAATTTCAGATTTCCCCATTGTTATTGTAGTACTAGAGTAGTACATAGTCTAGTGTATATTGTCCTGGCTGTAGGTTGTTGTTGTAGCACTACTACAGTAATATACAGTAGTCCTGATTTTGTAGTATCTGTTGGCTGTATATGGTTGGTGTTGGCTGTAGTTTTTGCTGCTTGGCAGGAGGTGTCGGACTGTTTGGTTTTGTAGTCCTGACAAGTGTGTGATCAGACACGCATACACACGTACACACTCAAGTCTCTTGCTCTGACACACTCACACACACACACAAACTCTCACACACGTCTCTCTCTCTCTATGACACACACACACACACACTCACATGACCGTGCAGCACTTGCAACTCTGTTTCTTTTCTGTCTCCCCCTCCTCCCCTCCTCCCCCATTTGCCCCCCCTGCCTCCCCCTTCTCACCCGTACTCCCATTGGCTGCTGCCTGGGTCTCCGTCTCCCCCTCTCCTCCCCCTTCCCCTCCCCGTCTGGTAGCATCACAAACTCCGCCTTGACCGAGCCGTCTCCCCTCTCTGTCCCCCCTACCTCCCCCACCTCCCCCCCTGTCTCCCCCTCCAGAGACTTATAGCCCATGAAGACCAGTGTAACAGGGTTCTCAGCGCTGGCCTGGTCTGGACTGGGACCCAACAGCTTGGCTTCTACTCCTGTTAGTTCTCTTCTAGGACTCTGGTTCTGTGATACTCCATTTACAGCTGGGGAGAGGAGGGAGACGGGGAGAGGAGGGAGAGGAGAGAGGGGGGCGATAGAGAGGTGGAGAGGAGAGAGAAAGAGGGAGAGTGAGGGGAGCTGGTTAGGCTCTACATTAACATAAATCTAGAAGACATTAGCCAGGTTTTTATGTGAATAAAGTCCTGTCATACAAAAATAGTTCACATCAGGCATCATAGAATCAGCAAATGTTGGTAAACTTTTGTTATTTTTTTGGTCCAATAATTATTTTGTCCTATTTAACAAAACTGCAATGGAAAAAATGCAATACCACATGGAAAATAATGATCAGACTGTTAACAGTTTATTAACAGTAGAACTGACCTCCTCTGTTCTCTTTGGCCACGACCGGATTCTCCAGCTCCTCTATCTCCTGCTCCAGGCTGACACACACACACACACACACACACATTAATTACACATGAATGGAGAGTGTGGAGAAATAGTATTAATGAGAAATTAATGAGTTACTTTGCTTTATCAACAACGATGACCGACAACGGCGTGTGTGTGTCTGTGTGTGTATGTGTGTGTACTAACCAGAGGATGCTCTTCTCTAGTGCCTTAGTCCTCTCTTCATCCTCCTGAAGTCGTCTCTGAGTCTCATCTTCCTCTGGAGCCCCATCCAACAACCAGCGCTCTCTCAGAGCCTTCGACTATACACACACACACACACACACACACACACACACACACACACACACACACACACACACACACACACAGGTAGAATAGGATGAGCAAGAGCATAGAAAGAGGGCAGACAGACAGTAGGAAATGGAGGTTCAATCTCATGCTCACAGAGGAAGGTGTTGAACACTTTGAAGAACCCTTTTTGGTTCTAGGTAGAACCCTTTCAGTTCCATGTAGAACCCTTTTGGGTTCCATGTAGAACCCTTTCCGCAGAGGGTTCCATGTAGAACCCTTTCCACAGAGGATTCTACAATGAACCCAAAAGAGTTCTACCTGGAACCAAAAAGGGTTCTCCGATGAGGACAGCTGAAGAAACCTTTTGGAACACTTTTTTCTAAGAGTATTTTTCAGCCAGTGACACTCTCAGCTAGACAAGCTCCAGGAAAAAGGAGTAGGCCTTCTCTCCCCAGCATTCTTCTGTCAGCTTTATGTGCATTCCAACCATATAATGAAGAAGAATTTACAAACAAAACTCCCCTTTTCCTCATCCATCCATCCACCTCTCTCTCTCTCTCTCTCTCTCTCTCTCTCTCTCTCTCTCTCTCTCTCTCTCTTCTTCACTGTCTCTCATCCATCACTCTCCCTTTCTATCTCTCTCTCCATTAAGCAAATATGTATATACATTTCCCATAACACCCCACTTAATACACAAACTGTAACCCGACACTCCTCCCTCTCTCTTCCATATTTCTCTCTCTCCCTCCATTTTACATTTACATTTTAGTCATTTAGCAGACTCTCTTATCCAGAGTGACCTACAGTTAGTGCATTCATCTTAGATAGCTAGGTGGGACAACCACACATGTAGCTATCAACAATGTGTCTCCCCTTTCTCTCTCCCCCTACACCCCCCCAATAATCTGACATCATTGGATATACACACCCACACACACACCCGCCTCCCTCCACACACACAGTCTGAAACTAGCACACCCCTCCCCAGCTCAGCTCGCTGTTCATTGTTCTGGTGTAAAAACTACTGACAATGGAAGGAACACACTCACACACACACACACACACACACACACACACACACACACACACACACACACACACACACACACACACACACACACACACACACACACACACACACACACACACACACACACACACACACACCACAAACACTCACACTCACACTCACACACACACACACACACACACACACATACTCACACACACTCATACTCACACACACACACACTCACATACCTTACTCTACTCTCAAACTTTTACTTCTCTAACATACATGTGCACGTCTCCATGGTTACATCACAAAATCTCCAGGCTGCATTACATCATCACAAGACACCTAATTAGAAACAGCCGCTGTAGAACTCATTGTGTGTGTGTGTGTGTGTGTGTGTCTAGAGACAATCCACAGAAGATTGGTCAGAGGAAACAGATTTGTGTCCCACTCCCCTCTGAGCAGGAAACCACTCTCACACACATATCGTACCCCGTTTTAGCCACACACAGAAAAGACAGGGATAGTAGCACACAAGGTCATTGGTGCCGTTCTCACATACACTACTTTATCACAGGCTGGTGCTTGAGTCAGTGTGTGAAGGGTTATCAAAGGGCTATTTTAGCTTAGGCCAAGTCAGCTAGATGACAGATAACAGGGAAACTATGTAGTGTGTGTGTGTGTGTTGTGTGTGTGTTGTGTGTGGGTGTGTGTGGTGTGAGTGTGTGTGTTGTGTGTGTGTGGGTGTGTGTACGTGCATTGAAGCAGGCTTTATCTCCTAGCTCGTGTTAGTGAACAGTCTGTGACAGCCAAGTGTTTTTCTATCTGGTACTAAACAGAGATACAAAGGCCTGTGTGTGTTAGTGTGTGTGTGTGTGTGTGTGTGTTAGTGTGTGTGTGTACCTTGAGGTGTTGAAGCTGTCTTCTGTCATCTTCCAGGTGTCTCCTCTTGCTCTCAATCTCTGTCTGCCTCTTCCTCTTCTCCTGTAAAGACATACACACACACACACACACACACAAACGCACACACACACAGTAAGTGGCCATGCTAAACATTTTAACCAATGTGATGTGTGCTGTGTCTGCATGTTCATGCTGGATATGAGTCCATTACTGCTTCTAGCATTAGCCTAATGCTTCTGGATGTTCAGCTACAGATATTCATCTACAGGCTTTATGTGGCTAAGGGGTCTGGAGGGGCTAAAAGGGCTACATGGGCTAAAAGGGCTGAAAGGGCTGAAAGGACTAAATGGGCTAATAGGTCTGAGGTGTGTGTGTGTGTGTGTGTGTGTGTGTGTGTGTGTGTGTGTGTGTGTGTGTGTGTGTGTGAGTGAGGGGGGAGGAGGAAGTTTGACAGTAACAGGATGTTTCAGGATGGTAGAACAGATCTAACATACAAATGGTTGGTTATCTAACACAGGGTTTCCCAAACTCTGTCCTGGGTCATCCCCCTGGGGCACGTTTTGGTTTTTCCCCTAGCTCTACACAGGTGATTCAAATAACCAACTCATCATCAAGCCTGGATTATTTTAATCAGATGTGTAGTGCTATGGCAAAAACCAAAATGTGCACCCGGGGGGAGTTTGGGAAACCCTGATCTAACACAAGATCTCATAGTTTCCATTTGAAAATCGACATACAGTATTATGGATGAACGTCTATTTTTGATGCATGCATTCCACATGGTTACAGGGTTAAAACAGAAACAACTAAAAGGTTAACAGTTTAGGCATTTATTCCGAGTGGTTAAGGTTAGGGCTATGGTTTGGGGAAGGCTCTGCAAACCAACCGACCTCATAAGATCAAGTATCATAAAGTATTCTCACGGCTTGCTAGAGCATTGTGAACTGCCGTAGCGCAGTGATCTAAGCAGGGCACTTGAAATCTGAGCATCATAAGTTTACGCCCAGTGCTGGGCAATTGTTTTTCTTGTTGTTTTTTTGTGAGCGCGACGTTCTCAGGAACTTTTCAAACGTCCGAAATCAAAGTCTATTTCTAGTGATCAGGCTGGTCTAACATGAGTCTATCATTGTGAGTGGTTGTATGAAACCATGCACGCTGTGTGTGTGTGTGTGTGTGTGTCACTTACAGCGATGGCCTGAATTCTCTCCTGTTGCAAAACCTCAGCCATCCTGAGAGAGAGAAATAAAGTTAGTGAGATAGAAGAATAACTGAGTGATGTCAACATTCCTGCTTTAATAGATTCCAGAGCTCTGGCAGGGAATACCGCTCTGCCTCATTGGGAAGACTTGGGAAGATAGTGTAGAGCTGCTCTGCTCCTGGATGTGGTTGATGTGGATGGTCTGATCAGTGTGTGTGTGCGTGTGCTGTAGATGGTCAGTGTTAATCTGAGATTATAATCTCATATTAAGTTAAATAAACACCAAGAGACCTGGATTAGGAGAGACAGCAGCATACTGACATCATACAACACACACTGCAGGTACCCAGACACATTGCATAACATTACATAACACAACACGTAAATTACAGTTTTTCTCAATTGCTAAAACACTAAAACCCATTGGCTGAACAAAGTTCTCAGTTGCCTGGACTCATTTAGCTAATTATGCAGTCTGTTGTCAATACCTTAAACCATTTCACATGGTAAAACACTATTTGCAGATCTCACTTAGACTTTTCAGCAAAACTCTAAACACATTCTCATTCTCAAAACATATTCTGCACTCTAATGCACATGTCATCCACACTGGTAAACACAAGTGGCAACAATCAAATACAAATAGAGAACACATGTCATTGATTGAACACAACCACTCAAAATTGATTTAACCTGTTCCAATAATGCGACACAACCAATATAAGGCAGTTCAGAGAGCAAACAGGTTGTTGAAGGTGGGAAGGAGAACGTCTGAGAATGGATAGAAGAAACAATGTGAGAGGACGAGGACGAGTGCGTATGCGAGGTGGGCGACGAGGAGGAAAAGGAGGAGGAGGGCAAGAAAGAGGAAGAGGAGGACGAAGAGGAAGAGGAAGACAAAGAGTGGAAATATCTGATGAAATTCGAGCAACAGTCATAGACCATGTTCTTGTCCATGGACTGACAATGAGGGAAGCAGTACTTAGAGTGCAACCCAATTTGAGCCGATTTTCTGTGTCCACCATAGTAAGGACATTCAGAGAAGAGAACAGGTACAGTATACTACTGTATTTTTGTAATTGCACATTTACTGTACTACACTATATGCAGCTGTTTCAATAGACATTGTCACACCCTGGCTCTGGGGACTCTATATGTTGAGCCAGGGTGTGTAGATTCTATGTGTTTTGTGTTCTATGTTTATTATTCTAGTTGTTCTATTTCTATGTTGGCCAGAGTGGTTCTCAATCAGAGGCAACGAGTGTCAGCTGTTGCTGGTTGTCTCTGATTGGGAACCACATTTAAACAGGCTGTTTTCCCACAGTAGTTGTGGGATCTTGTTCCTTTTGGTTTGTTCCGTGTTGGTTTATTTTGTAGCCAAGGACTTCACGTGTCGTTATCGTTTGTTGTTTTGTTCTTGTTATCACTATTGATAATAAAGTATGTTCGCTCATCACGCCGCGCCTTGGTCCACTCCGTTCAACGATCGTGACAGAAGATCCCACCATACCAGGACCAAGCAGCGTGTCCAGGAGCAGGCAGCCTGGACGTGGGAGCAGATATTGGACGGGCAGGGGTCCTGGACCTGGGAGGAAATCCAGGCCGGGATGGATCGCCGTCCGTGGAAGGAGACGGTGGAGGCGCGACGGAGAGAGGAGCAACGGCGTAAACAGTGTCGTCGTCGGACGGACGAGAGGCAACCCCAAAAAAAAAATTAGGGGGGGGCACACGGCATGGGCGACGGGGCAGCAGGAGGCAGCTACAGGGCGTATTGGGAGGTTGGGTGAGGAGGCCACCAGGTTAAGGGGGCTATTGGTCTAGAGGGAGCAGGAGTTAGTGGTTCAGAGGGTGGAGCTACTGGAGGCGATAAGGGAGAAGGTGAGAGTAGAGGCACGGCGAGAGGAACTGTGTAGGCAGCTGAGGGAGCGGAGGGTTATGAAGAAACCCAGTCCCGCTCCTCACACCAAGCAAGTGGTGTGCGTCACCAGTCCGGTCCGGCCCGTTCCTGCTCCCCGCACTAAGTTGATGGTGCGCGTCGCCAGCCCGGCCCGGCCTGTTCCTGCTCCCCGCACTAAGTTGATGGTGCGCGTCGCCAGCCCGGCCTGTTCCTGCCCCTCGCACCAAGCCTATGGTGCGCGTCGCCAGCCCGGCCCGGCCTGTTCCTGCTCCCCGCACCAAGCTAATGGTGCGCGTCGCCAGCCCGGCCCAGCCTGTTCCTGCTCCCCGCACCAAGCTAATGGTGTGCGTCGCCAGCCCGGCCCGTTCCTGCCACTCGCACCAAGCCTATGGTGCGCGTCGCCAGCCCGGCCCGGCCTGTGCCTGCTCCCCGCACCAAGCTAATGGTGTGCGTCGCCAGCCCGGCCCGGCCTGTTCCTGCTCCCCGCACCAAGCTAATGGTGCGCGTCGCCAGCCCGGCCCGGCCTGTTCCTGCTCCCCGCACCAAGCTAATGGTGCGCGTCGCCAGCCCGGCCCGGCCTGTTCCTGCCACTCGCACCAAGCCAGGGGTGCGAGTCGTCAGCCCGGTACGGCCCGTTCCTGCTCCACGCACCAAGCCAGGGGTGCGCATCGTCAGCCCGGTACGGCCCGTTCCTGCTCCACGCACCAAGCCAGGGGTGCGCATCGTCAGCCCTGTCCGGCCCGTTGCTGCTCCACGCACCAAGCCAGGGGTGCGCATCGTCAGCCCGGTCCGGCCCGTTCCTGCTCCACTCACCAAGCCAGGGGTGCGCGTCGTCAGTCCGGCACAACCCGTGCCTGGGTCACCGGTGCCTGGTCAGGTACCGGTCAGCTGCTCCACACCGGAGCCTAAGCAATCCGCTCCTACGATGTCCAGTCCAGCTCCAGCCAGCGGGACCAGACCAGGGGCGCTACGGGGGGATGGTTGAAGGGTGGTGGTCAAGCCCGGAGCCGGAACCGCCTCCGGAGGAATGCCCACCCAGCCCTCCCCTGTTTGGTTTATGTTGAGGCGCGGTCGCAGTCCGCGCCTTTGGGGGGGGGGGGGGGGGGGGTACTGTCACACCCTGGCTCTGGGGACTCTATATGTTGAGCCAGGGTGTGTAGATTCTATGTGTTTTGTGTTCTATGTTTATTATTCTAGTTGTTCTATTTCTATGTTGGCCAGAGTGGTTCTCAATCAGAGGCAACGAGTGTCAGCTGTTGCTGGTTGTCTCTGATTGGGAACCACATTTAAACAGGCTGTTTTCCCACAGTAGTTGTGGGATCTTGTTCCTTTTGGTTTGTTCCGTGTTGGTTTATTTTGTAGCCAAGGACTTCACGTGTCGTTATCGTTTGTTGTTTTGTTCTTGTTATCACTATTGATAATAAAGTATGTTCGCTCATCACGCCGCGCCTTGGTCCAATCCGTTCAACGATCGTGACAGACATTTGTAAAGTTAATCACTGTATGTATTGTACTGCATGAATATGTTTTGTAACTGCACAACTACTTTTTGTAGAATTGCAAGGCTGCCACATGCAGGTGGAAGGACAGCTATATTCACTCGGGAGCAAGAGGCCGTTATAGTTGGCATGGTCCTTCAAGATAATGCAATACGACTCAGAGAAATCCAGAAACGAGTGATACAAGACAACACACACTTCCAGGGAATCGACAGTGTGAGCATTTCCACAATTGACCGTGTCCTCCATCGTAACAGGATGCGAATGAAACAAGTATACAGAGTACCTTTTGAAGAACAAGAATTACAGTATCACAGAGACAAAGGACAAGTTTGTGAGATGCAGGGTACAGTACTGTAAAAATAGGGGTACAAGGAGGAGGAAGAACAAAAAACTAAATTGCAAAGAGCAAAGCAGAGTAGTAATTTCTGATCAATTTTGAGCTACTATGATAGAACATGTTTTCGTTCATAAAAAGACAATGACGGAAAAATTTGTTTTGAGATTTAAAATGTACTTCTCCCTGAGAACTGTATGTTTTGAACAATGTGTTTTCTATTTTTCGGTGTATCGTTTACTGACTGCTTGAGAGTGTATATCATTTTGATCACTTTGTTTATGATTTGAGAGCAGTGTTTGATTTTGAACACAGGTAAAACTGTTTTGAGGCGAATGTTTCATTTTGCGAGAGGAGTCAGAGGTTTTGTAAATAGTGCTTGAAGATGAGGTTTTGTGTTTAATGTTTTCAGGAAATGGAGCAAGGTTTCAGAAATTGTGTTTTAGCAATTGAGAAAAACTGTAATACTGATCATAACCGTATAACATAAACCCTGACCCTGGAGGGATTCTCCTAATAGAATTGAATAACTCTCCCCATCTACTCAGAAACATCCAGAGACAGTCTTGGCGTCTGGCCTTGGGTTAGACAGGAGACTGAACAATCAATGAATGCTAATGGTAGAGCAGAGCCATGAGGCCTAGTTGATTGACCAGTCTGTAATGTACAGTCAACTCCTGATACAACATGTGAGTGTGTGTGTGTGTGTGTGTGTTTATGTGATTGTAGCCTGAGGAAGAGGGAGAACAGGTAACAAAAATATACTGGACTCCTTTGTTCTCTTATGAATAGCGTTTGATTGTATATATCTGTGCAGGACTGCTGATGATCATGAGTGAGCGTCTGAAAGAGAGAGCGAAAGAGAGATTGAGAGAGAGAGAGAGAGAGTAGAGAGAGAGAGAGAGAGAGAGAGAGAGAGATTGAGAGAGAGAGAGAGAGAGAGAGAGATTAAATTGGATTAGAGGCTAAAAATGACACAGTTTATCAGAAAACGACACAGAGAAAAGAAAATATATATATATTTTATCTGGTATGATGGAGAGGAGGGGTAGAGGGTGGGAGGGAAAGAGAGACAGTATAGTCTGCAGGAGCAGGTAGGTGGTAAAGTGCTTGTCTTGATGAAAGAGTGATCTGTCTCAAACATGTCACCTGCATGCCACAAGACTGTGTGAGCCTGCTGGGCTAAAGGCTCAGGGAGCAAACACAGGTCTTACAAGTCTCTGAATCCCTCTTCTCTTTCTCTCTCTCTCTCTCTCTCTCTCTCTCTCGCTACTCTCTCTCTCTCTCTCGCTACTCTCTCTCTCTCTACTCTCTCTCTCTCTACTCTCTCTCTCTCTCTCTCTCTACTCTGTGGTGAAAGGTGTCAGGCGCAGGAAGGTAATCACCGAATACAGAGTTTATTCCTTCGTTGACACACAAATGGGCTCCAATAGCGATCAACGAAACAGGCACAGGGGAAACAAACATCCCTGGCAATTACACTGTAACGGAATACAATAATACATAGGCACAGGGGGAAAATCTACCCTGGCAACACAATGTTATAAGTAGCTCCACCGAGCTACATACTCTCACAATTAACAATCACCCACAAGGACAAGGGGGCAGAGGGAACACTTATACACGGACTAATTAGGGGATTAGAACCAGGTGTGTGTGATTGACAAGACAATTGTGATGATGATTGGGGCGGCAGTGGTTAGTACTCCGGTGACGACGAACGCCGAAGCCTGCCCGAACAAGGAGGGGAGGCAGCCTCGGCCGAAGTCGTGACACTCTCTATCTCTCCTGCCTGGTTGCCTGGTGCCAGGGTAAAGTACCATGCAGATGCTAAAAGCCAGACACCCCAAAATAGAAACACAACAGATCTATATTGTGTGTCAAAGAAATAGATCAACATGAAAGGTAGGTCTACATCATAAATGATTACACAAACATATTGGAATTGTTTAGTGTCGTCTATGGTCTATCCTATGTGGCAACAATTAAAATGGTCAAATTATTATTAGTGTTAGCCTAGTCCACCTGACCGTTTGAGAACATAAGGCCTAGAATAGGCTATTCGACATACAGGGGCAAAGCAAACTGTTTGTTTTCACATTTTCTGCAAGAGAGGAGACTGTCTGAGTGTCCTCCCTGTACTCAGGGCCGGGTTAATGCAGGGGCTTACCCACTGCTATAACAGCCTCTACTCTTCTGGGAAGGCTTTCCACTAGATGTTGGAACATTGGTGTGGGGACTTGCCTCCATTCAGCCACAAGAGCATTAGTGAGGTCGGGCATTATGTTGGGCAATTAGGCCTGGCTCGCAGTCTGCGTTCCAATTGATCCCAAAGGTGTTCGATGGGGTTGAGGTCAGAGCTCTGTGTAGGCCAGTAAAGTTCTTCCAGACCGATCTCGACAAACCATTTCTGTATGGACCTCACTTTGTGCACGGGGGCATTGTCATGCTGAAACAGGAAAGGGCGTTCCCCAAATTGTTGCCACAAAGTTGGAAGCACAGAATTGTCTTGAATGTAATTGTATGCTATAGTGTTAAGATTTCCCTTCACTGGAACTAAGGGGCCTAGCCCGAACCATGAAAAACAGCCCCAGACCATTATTCCTCCTCCACCAAACGTTACTGTTGGCACTACGCATTGGGCAGGTAGCGTTATCCTCGCATCCGCCAAACCCAGATTAGTCCGTCGGACTGCCAGATGGTGAAGCGTGATTCATCACTCCAGAGAATGTGTTTCCACTGCTCCAGAGTCCAATGGCGGCGAGCTTTACACTACTCCAGTCGACGCTTGGCATTGCACATGGTGATCTTAGGCTTGTGAGCGGCTGCTCGGCCATGGAAACCAATTTCATGAAGCTCCCGATGAACAGTTATTGTGCTGACGTTGCTTCCAGAGGCAGTTTGGAACTCGGTAGTGAGTGTTGCAACCAAGGGCAGACAATTTTTACGTGCCATGCGCTTCAGCACTCGGCGGTCCTGTTCTGTGAGCTTGTGTGGCCTACCACTTCGTGGCTGAGCCGTTGTTGCTCCTAGACATTTCCACTTCACAATACCAGCACTTACAGTTGACCGGAGCAGTTCTAGCAGGGCAGAAATTTGACGAACTGACTTGTTGGAAAGGTGGCATCCTATGATGGTGACACGTTGAAAGTCACTGAGCTCTTCAGTAAGGCCATTCTACTACCAATGTTTGTCTATGGAGATTGCATGGCTCTGTGTTCGATTTTATACACCTGTCAGCAACGGGTGTGGCTGAAATAGCCGAATCCACTCATTTGAAAGGGTGTCCACATACTTTTGTATATATAGTGTATATTGCCTCCTAATATTGTACAATCTGTGTGTTGCTTCATTAGCCTGGGCTATTGTTTGTATGAATTCAAGACCAGATTGATCTCAGTTTGTCAGTGTCAGAGTAGCCACTGATGTCGGTCATTTGTGTGGTATTAAAAAAGATTCAGCTAATGTCTTTCGTCATGTAAATGATGTAGAATTGTATGAAATGCGTTTTTAAAAGGCAAAACAAATATTCGGACCCTGCTAACAAATGTTACCCATGTGTGGAAATCCTAAAAACGCCTCTGCTCAACTGTAGCCTATGCCACATTGCAAATGTTATGATGGCTTTATTATAAAGGACCCTTGTCTTCAACAGGAAACCACGCATCGAATTGCATCTTGGTGCATGGATTTGTTTACAGAAAATGATGGTGTGCAAGGAAGTGTGTGCGGGCTATATAAAAATAAAAATAAACCCGGGGCCTATGATATCTTAGTCCGGCCATGCCTGTACTGTATATTGTTTATTTATTTATGTCAGACTAGTATTTATTATCATATTGTCTTGTTCACATTGTTGTCATGCATTTCCATGGAGGATGCAGCTCCAGCGTCTCGCCTTCAAAACATCAATACTAGCCTAATAGCCTGTCACTGTAAACAATGTCCCTACTAAACGGCTACAGTAAGGTGGAAAACCACACATAGCCTACAGAGCGGGATTTTTATCATTTATAATTATATTATGCCTACATTAGAAAACACACACTGTCTCTTCATCTCGTCTTCCCTCTATTCTCCATCGCTCTCTCTCTCTCCTCCATCCCTCCATACCCTCCTCTCCTCACCACCATCCTTCATCGCTGTTCCGTGATGCTGAGGCAGTGGAGCGCTAAAGCTAGTCAACAAATTCCCAGAAATCAGGTCAAGTATAGTCGCGAGTAGACACTGCGTGTAACGAGCAGACATACCAGTAGCCAGGCTACTTACCCAATAGCGGAGTCCTTTCACTTGTCACCGATGGCGTCTATCTCCTTTGGCGTCTCTCCTCCTAGTCTCCTCCACACAGAAATAAAATAGCACTGCGACGTTTTCCTCTTCATTCACTGTGTATGCTTATAGTCTATGTTTACTAGCGTATAGCTTCAAAACAGGGGGGTTTCCTCCCCTCCTCTCTCCCCTTCTCCTCTTCGCCTCCTCCTTTCTCCCTCTCCTCTCTCCTGCCACCCTTCCGTCCGCGGCTGAGGAGTCGCGGGAACGCCCGTGCTGTGTGTGTGCGTGTGTGTAGCGGGAGCTCGTGCCGCTCAACCCGACAATGGAGAGAGAACAAGCTGTCCGTTATTTATCTTCGATCCACGACATTACAGGTGTTCGTGGGTGAATTGGCAGGTTTTGGAGAGATGAAGGCGCAGCGGCATTCTTATAACTCTCCGGGTTCCCTCTAAATTATGGTTTGCTTGTCTCCTGTAGGCGACTTGTTTTGCAGAGAGGTTCGCGCTCTCACCAGCGAGAGAGAGAGAGAGAGAGAGAGAGAGAGGAGAGAGAGAGAGAGAGGAGAGAGAGAGAGAGAGAGAGAGAGAGAGAGAGAGAGAGAGGTGGGATACGCCTTCCTTACTCCCTTCTGAGATAAAGAGGCCCAGGGTGTGTTGTTGACTGATATGATATTGAGGGCTCTGGTTGTAAATGGGGTCTGGGTATAGACCACAATCTGATATGATATTGGGGCCTCTGGTTCTAAATGGGGTCTGGGTATAGCCCACAATCTGATATGATATTGGGGCCTCTAGTTCTAAATGGGCTCTGGGTCTAGCCGACAGTCTGAAGCAGGTCTACAGTATGATAGTAATAGCTGCCAATGAGGCTCTACCACAAACATAATGAATGACATTTCAATACTGATTCAGTCAGGAAACAAGAGTTCAAAAGACATTAAAGGTCCTGAACAGTCATTATGAAAAATACTTTTTCTCATGGCTAACTACCAGGAAGTTTGAAAAGAGAGTATGAGTGGGCAGGGAGCTTATATTAATGAGCTCACCTTGACTGACAGCTCTTTGAAACGCCTATGTCAAGCAAGTTGGATGCAGTTCGCAGTGTTGCAGTAAAATCATCTCAATCAAATTTGCTGATGCACAAAGCAACTCAAACAACATCGAAATTGCATCAATTTCACCATGAGGCCAATGGTAACTTTAAAACAGTTATAGAGTTTAATGGCTGTAATAAGAGAAAACTGAGGATGGATCAACAACATTGTAGTTACTCCACACTCCTAATTGACAGAGTGAAAAGAAGGAAGCCTGTACAGAAACAAAATATTCTAACATAAGTAATTCACTTTTTGTCCTGAATACAAAGTGTTATGTTTGGGGCAAATCCAATACAACAAATTACTGAGTACCACTCTCCATATTTTCAAGCATAGTGGTGGCTGCATCATGTTATGGGTATGCTTGTAATCATTGAGGACTGGGGAGTTTTTCAGGACAAAAAATGAACAGAATGGAGCTAAGCACAGGCAAAATCCTAGAGGAAAACCTGGTTCAGTCTGCTTTCCACCAGACACTGGGAGATGTATTCACCTTTCAGCAGGACAATAACCTAAAACATGAGGCCAAATCTACACTTGAGTTGCTTACCAAGAAGACAGTGAATGTTCCTGAGTGGCCGAGTTATCGTTTTGACTTAAATCTACTTGAAAATCTATGGCAAGACCTGAAAATGGTTGTCAGCAATGATCAACAACCAATTTGACAGAGTTTGAAGAATTCTGAAAAGAATAATGGGCAAATGTTGCACAATCCAGGTATGGAAAGCTCTTAGAGGCTTACCAAGAAAGACTCACAGGTGTAATCGCTGCCAAAGGTGCTTCTACAAAGTATTGACTCAGGGGTGTGAATACTTATGTAAATGTCATATTTCTGGATTTCATTTTAAATATAGTTACAATAATTTCAAAAAACATGTTTTCTCTTTGTCATTATGGGGTATTGTGTGTAGATGGGTGAGAAAAACACATATTTAATACATTTTGAATGCAGGCTGTAACACGACGAAATGTGGAATAAGTAAAGGGGAATGAATACTTTCTGAAGGCGCTGTCCATGTAGATTGGTTCAATTGGTGAAGTGCACCATCTACTGGCCATAACATCTTTATTGTGGCATGTGGTATCCTGTGGCCAGAAGGGGGCATTTGTGTTCTGCATATGGTTCATAGACGAAGAGGAGGGGACAGGGTAGAGATGAAAAGATGGAGAGGTGTGTGTGTATTTATAACCATGGGAGAACGGTTTGAATGTGTACATGTCATGATAAATCAAACAGTCAGAGGCAGAAGATGTGTGAGCACGCGCGTGCATATTTGTTGAATGAAGAGATGCAAATACACACCGCAGCAGCAGTCACAGGCACGTGGTCAGAACCCAGCCCAGCCCAGCCCCACCCTACTGGACTAGGTCTACCCAAAATAAAACAAACAAAATACGAAAAGAGGGAGAGGAATATATATGGGGGGGGTGGATTCAGCATCCTTTGGCCTAAAACGAATGGCCTTTACATTTTAAATGAATGTTCTAGAAGGGAAACACTCTGAATCAGACACACATGCACTCACTCATGAACGCGCATACTCAAACACACACCAAAATCCACCGCTTTGTTTTTCCCAGCTTTATGGTGGTGGGAGCCTACCATTAGGAATTTGGAGCGGTGAGAGGAGGGGCGTTTGTGTGTGTGTGAAGGAGCAGTCGGTCTCCTCCCCTCGTCTCCCCCCGCCCTCTCGCGCCCCCCATGCCTTTGTGTGCGCGAGGCTCTCTCTCTGTGAGCGGCGGTTCTTCAAGTGAGAGATCGGTTCGTTTCTGAGCGCTGTTTGAGTGTGTGTGGGCTGTTCAAACACAACGCGTGGCTGACTGGGACCGGGGTGAACCGGTAGAAGGCACGTGAAACCTCGGAGTTTATTTTCATTCACACACGCGCGATCAGAAGGGAAAATAACGGAGAAATATAGAATATCGGACTTTTCCCTTTCCTCTTATCCATCTATCATTCTCCATTTATCATTCTCTTGTTCTCTCTATCCGTGGAGAAGCTGACCAACCTAAACAACCTGATGTGTGTGTATGTGTGTTTTGGGGGCGTAAAACAACGGGCAGCGCGTGAAGATGGATTAACGGTTGAACGGAAAACTGGAGCAGCACGCGAGACCACGGCGAGGGGGGAGGGCAAGACGGGACTCTGCTAACACACACAACTCGCGGGATAGAGGTAATTTAGTACTCTGTGTGTGTGTGTCTGGAGGAGAGGCAAGGCGGGGTGAGTCTGACACTAGTGTTTGAGAGAATCAATGGTTATATATCAGGACAGTTTTTTTTCTCTCTCTCTCTCTCTCTCTCAATTTCAATTTAAGGGCATTATTGGCATGGGAAACGTATGTTAACATTGCCGAAGCAAGTGAAGTAGATAGTAAACAAAAGTGAAATAAACAATAAAAATGAACAGTAAACATTACACTCAGAAGTTCCAAAAGAATAAACACATTTCAAATGTCATATTATGTATATATACAGTGTTGTAACGATGTGCAAATAGTTAAAGTACAAATGGGAAAATAAATAAACATAATATGGGTTGTATTTACATGGTGTTTGTTCTTCACTGGTTTGCCCTTCCTCTCTCCTCTCTCCTCTCTCTCTCTCTCTCTCTCTCTCTCTCTCTCGTCTCTCTCTCTCCTCTCCTCCCCCCTCTCCCCTCCCTCCCTCCCTCCCTCCCTCCCTCCCTCCCTCCCCCTCTCCCTCTCCCTCCCTCTCTGAGTTCAGGCCTATGCAGTGGACAGCGCCATAGTTACAGTAGAATAACACAGGGCAGAAGGAGGGAGGTGTGTGTGCCTCAGCATCCTCCTTCTTTCTCTGAGTTACTGTAACTATGGCACTCTCCTGTGTCCACTCCATTGTCCTGCATTTAGAGAGCAAGTTAGAGAGACAAAACAAAGAGAGAGAGAGACGTGGGAAACAGAGATAGCACACCATTGAGGCTTGTGTGTGTGTGTTTTCTGATTTTCCATTCATTTGGGGTTGAGGGATCTACACAACAGACGTGCATTCAGCTATTTGCTATTAGCTTACGTTCACTGCAAAGGACCAGTCAGAGACCAAGCAGACCTTTGCCCATGTGGAAGTAGTAGCAGAATATGACATAACAAGCTGATACGCCTCTGGTATGTATGCCACCTGGAATGCCACCAGTGTGATGACTAACCCCTCCCCTTCTGTCTGTTCCTAGACTCTGATTGGACCAACACCAGGATGATGTCGTCACCCAAAGCCAAGGCCAAGAAGAAACCTCCCAAAGACAGCATGACGCTTCTACCATGCTTCTACTTCATAGAGGTGTGTGTACGTGCATACGTGTATCCAATATAACTGCATTTACTGTATACCACTCACTATGGCTGTTAGTAAGAAAATATCTCCCTCTTACCTCTCTCTCTCTCGCTCTCTCTCTCGCTCTCGCTCTCTCTAGCTCCCGATCGTCCTCTCCTCTCTCGTCTCTCTCTACTTCATGGAGTTGACAGACCTGTTGTCCCCGGCGACCCCTGGGTTCCGTTGCTATGACCGCGACCTGTCGTTGCCCTACCTGGAGACAGGAGATGAACTGATCCCTCTGCTGATGTTACTGAGCCTGGCCTTCGCAGGACCGGCTGCCTCAGTTAGTACACACACACACACACACACACACACACACACACACACACACACACACACACACACACACACACACACACACACACACACACACACACACACACCGTCAGAACCTATAATCAACAGACTCTGATCAATGAACAGCCAATCAGCATCAGGGTGCACAACTAATTGTGTGTGTGTATGTGAATAGATCATGCTGGGTGAAGGGTTGATGTATTGTTACCAGTCCAGAGTCAAACATAGTAAAGCTGAAGGATCCATCATCGCTGGAGGGTGTAACTTCAACTCCTTCCTACGGAGGACTGTTCGCTTTGTTGGTATGTACCTTTTATTTTCGTTTGAAATCCTCAAGAGGGAGTGAACAGGTGCACACTTCAGGGAGTAATGCTAGTCTAGGGAGAGAATCTTCTTCAGGCCTTTTCCAGTTAAAGCAAGAAGTTGAGAACAGGGGAGAGAGAGATGTAGAGGGAATGAGGACAGACAAGACGTCTTCAGATATTTCAGATAACTTCTTACCTGGTGCATGCTCCTCCCTCGCTCTCTCTCCTCCTCCATCCCTTCTCCCCCTATCTCCCCCTCTCTCTTACTCTCCTCCTCCATCCCTCCTTCTTCTCCCCCAGGTGTTCATGTGTTTGGTCTCCTGGCAACAGCCCTGGTGACGGACATCATCCAATTGGCTACTGGTTATCCCACCCCTTTCTTCCTGACTGTCTGTCAGCCCAATTACACGCTGCCTGGGATATCATGTGACCAGAACAACTACATCACACAGGACATCTGCTCTGGGAAAGACCTGTATGCCATCCTGTCAGCCAGGTAACACACACACACACACACACACACACACACACACACACACACACACACACACACACACACACACCACACACACACACACACATTTAGTATTCTCCAGCTTCTATATAACCACCCACCTCTCTTTCTCTCTCTCTGCATCATGTCTCCCTCTCTCTCTCCCTGATTCTTACTCTCTCTCCCTCTCCTTCTCTTCAGGAAAACATTTCCGTCCCAGCATGCAACGCTCTCTGGCTTTGCCGCTATCTACATCTCTGTAAGCACTGACAGCTACTAACTTGTCTGTCTGCCTGCCTGTCAGACTTTATGAAGATGCATTTTAAGTAAAAATCAGCAACATTGCCATCAGCAATAGTTCTAACTTTGTGTGTGTGTGTGTGCGTGCGTACTTCCGTGTGTGTGTGTGTGTGTAGATGTATTTGAACAGTGTGATCAGCAGTAGTACCAAGCTGGTGAAGCCAGTGCTGGTGTTTGGCTACTGTCTGGCTGCAGGCATAGCTGGACTGACTCAGATCACACAACACCGCTGCCATCCCAGAGACGTCTATGTGGGCTACGCTATAGGAGCTGGCATAGGAGTCTACCTGGTGAGTGTGTGTGCGTGTGTGTGTGTGGGTTGTGTTTGTGTGTGTGCGCGACTTTGTGTGTGTGTCTGGGGGGGTAGACTGAGACAGACAGAAAGAGAGAGAGAGAGAGACAGAGAGAGAGAGAGAGAGAGAGAGATGGGAATTAATAATCTTTTAAGACTTCTCAGGGGGAGAATTTCACAGTTCTTTTTTAGAAAACCTGTCTCAACTAATTTCACGCTTCTATCCCTCTCTCTCTATCTCCCCCTCTCTCCTCCCCCTCCCTCTAGTCTCTGTATGCAGTATGTAACTTCAGGTCATCCGAGGAGGACTGCCCCCCCCAGCCTGTCCGGAGGGCTGCCTCTCCCCCCCAGCAGCAGAGGGAGGTGGTGGTGAGGGGACTAGCCCAGAGAGGACATGGCTCTCAGCACGGCTCTCTGTACCGCAGCAAGACACCCAGACCATCAGACAGCAGGGAGGAACTGGGGCCTGGACGCTGCAAGGTAAGAGATGAAGAGAGAGAGGTTGCGTATTAGTAGTTAGAATTAGTAGTTAGTCATGCTATGTTGTTCTGTAGGTACGTAGGGAGAAGGCCAGCGTAGCGTCTCTGAAGAGGGCCAGTGCTGACGTGGAGCTCCTGGCGCCCCGCGGCACCATGGGAAAGGAAACCATGGTAACATTCAGCAATACCTTACCCCGCGTCGCCAACGGCAGCAGCAGCACCTCGCCCCCCGGAGACGACCCCTCCAACCAGCGTCACATGACCTTCCACTTGTCCTTCGACCCCCGCAGGTCACAACCAAGGTACGTTTGTGACTAGTGTGTGTGTGTTGTGTGTGTGTGTGTCATACAACCCAGGTATTAATCATCAAGTCAAATTGATCATGTGTGATCTGTCAGGTTGCGACCTCCGCTGGTGCAGGAGTGGAGACAGCAACACTCTATGGAGAGACGGAGCGAGGAGGAGGGGGGGGTGGAGAGATCTGGCGGAGGAGCGGGAGGAGAAGGAGGAGGGGGTGAGGCAGGGGAGACAGGGGTGATGAATCCTCCCTCCCTCTATCCGACGGTACAGTCGGCCAATAGAGCCGTTGCCACGGCTACCCCAGCGCCAGCCCCACTGGTACATATCCCTAAGGAGGGGATTAGACACCCTCCTTCTGTCTCCCCTCTACCTCCTTCTGTCTCCCCTCTACCTCCCCCCGTCTCCCCTAAGAGCGCGGTGACGCGTGCCAAGTTGATGTCACTTAACCAGGGAGGGGAACGAGCCAGGGAGGGGCCTATCCCTGTGACGACTCCGCGTGTGCCCACCCAGCTGCCCACCCAGCCGCCCAATCAGCCGCGAGTGGCGCAGGTGAGCTAAATATCAAATCTGAGTTAGCTAAAATGAACTGTTGATTTACATTCTAACTAACTGAAGTAACTAGCTAACTGTCTCCTCTGTTCATCCAATAGGTCATTGCCATGTCCAAGCCGCATGGACCAATCAGCTCCTCTGCCAAGGGCTCTGATTCCGCCTCTTCCTGTGGGGGAGGGTCTTCAACAGGAAGCTCTGAGTCTCCGTACTACCGGATCCCCTCCGACCGCGACAGCCACACCGGGAGTGTTACCGGAAGCGTTACCGGGAGTATTGTCACCATAGACGCTCACGCCCCTCATCACCCTGTGGTCAGGGTGTCTAGCAGTGCTGGTACCGGGAGTAATGGGACCCCAGGGCCCAGAGTAGCAGCTGCCGGGAACGGGACCCTCTGGGAGTGGAGGAACACCACCAGCGGGAGCCTGGCGAGCGTCGGTGAGCAGGGCAAGAGGGGGGCACTGCAGCGCCAGGAGAAAGTCACTGCACCGGAATATCAGGAATACCGCACACTTCCCGTGAAATCAGACTCTATCTGCTCCTCCTCTCCCAGTGAGACGGATTCCACCACCCTGCCTCCCCCTCCTCACCCTATCTCCTCCCCACTTCCTCTCTTCTCCTCCTCCCCCCTGCCTCCCCCTCCTCACCCCATCTCCTCTCCACTTCCTCCCTTCTCTGCCTCCCCCCTGCCTCCCCCTCCTCAACCCATCTCCTCCCCCCTCCCTCCCCCTTCTCCCCCCTCCTACTCCCCCCTCCCTCCCCCTCCCTCCCCCTTCTACTCCCCCCTCCCTCCCCCTCCTGATCCAGATCTGCTGTTGAACAGTCACTGTCAACCCCTCCCCCGCTCTATGACCCTTCCCCGCCGGCCCACTGTCTCAGCCCACAGCCGCGCTGATCAAGAAGTCTATTACAAGACCATGCAGACGGAGAGGAGATTATAACGCGACATAGAGGAGTTATAATAGACAGTAACACTACTAAAAACTCTGCAGACTACCAGGTTAGAAGACATAGGGGACTTTGCAGAGCGAGAGGTTATAAGACGACATAGGGCAGTTATGATAGACAGTAGTACCACTACATGACCATACAGTCAGGGGAAGTTATTAAATGTGACACAGTTTGGGGAGACCTAATTGTCAGGGGAAGTTATTAAATGTGACACAGTTTGGGGAGACCTAACAGTCAAGAGAACTACTACATGACTTAAATGAGTGAGAGGAGGTTATGAGATGACTTAGGAGTTGAAATATAATATAATGGAGGTTATAACTTGGCATAGAGGAGTGACATTAACCAAGAACACTACTTCAACACTGAGAAAGGGTCCAGATGGAAACAGATAGACAAATAGCTGTTCTACAAGACCCTGCTGTGTAAAGAAGGCCGTGAGATGACTTAAAGGAGTTAAGATGCGACATAACAGCGAAACTACAAGACACTGCAGAGGAAGACTTGGAGGACTGTTAAGGAAACTGCTAAGTCAAGGTCTAACAGTGTCTGACCGAAGGACTTCAGGAGCATCTAAAGACAACAAAGACAACAGAAACAATAGTTGGTTTACTATCGACTATTATCGGACTATAATGCAACTATACTGACTATACTCACCAGCTGTACTATACTATACTGTATATAGGATCTCTCTCAGGCTTCCATTCCACTGACTTACTGTAAAGAGGAGGGGGAGAGGAGGGGAGAAAAGGAGGAAGGAAAGTGAACATCTTGGAGAGGATTACTACAGTAAACAAAGAGGGGGAGACAGACTGGAGGGGATGATTGGCTTAACAATGTGAACAGATCCACACACTCACACACACACGTTTTGCCCGCGCTACAGACGGCTAATACAGGACTAGTAATGGCCTAGTGCACTTCTTCTGTGAAAATATTTTTTTTGATTGTATTAATATACCATAGACGCTCACGCCCCTCATCACCCTGTGGTCAGGGTGTCTAGCAGTGCTGGTACCGGGAGTAATGGGACCCCAGGGCCCAGAGTAGCAGCTGCCGGGAACGGGACCCTCTGGGAGTGGAGGAACACCACCAGCGGGAGCCTGGCGAGCGTCGGTGAGCAGGGCAAGAGGGGGGCGCTGCAGCGCCAGGAGAAAGTCACTGCACCGGAATATCAGGAATACCGCACACTTCCCGTGAAATCAGACTCTATCTGCTCCTCCTCTCCCAGCGAGACGGATTCCACCACCCTGCCTCCCCCTCCTCACCCCATCTCCTCTCCACTTCCTCCCTTCTCCGCCTCCCCCCTGCCTCCCCCTCCTCAACCCATCTCCTCCCCCCTCCCTCCCCCTTCTCCCCCCCTCCTACTCCCCCTCCCTCCCCCTTCTACTCCCTCCCCCTCCTGATCCAGATCTGCTGTTGAACAGTCACTGTCAACCCCTCCCCCGCTCTATGACCCTCCCCCGCCGGCCCACTGTCTCAGCCCACAGCCGCGCTGATCAAGAAGTCTATTACAAGACCATGCAGACGGAGAGGAGATTATAACGCGACATAGAGGAGTTATAATAGACAGTAACACTACTAAAAACTCTGCAGACTACCAGGTTAGAAGACATAGGGGACTTTGCAGAGCGAGAGGTTATAAGACGACATAGGGCAGTTATGATAGACAGTAGTACCACTACATGACCATACAGTCAGGGGAAGTTATTAAATGTGACACAGTTTGGGGAGACCTAATTGTCAGGGGAAGTTATTAAATGTGACACAGTTTGGGGAGACCTAACAGTCAAGAGAACTACTACATGACTTAAATGAGTGAGAGGAGGTTATGAGATGACTTAGGAGTTGAAATATAATATAATGGAGGTTATAACTTGGCATAGAGGAGTGACATTAACCAAGAACACTACTTCAACACTGAGAAAGGGTCCAGATGGAAACAGATAGACAAATAGCTGTTCTACAAGACCCTGCTGTGTAAGAGAAGGCCGTGAGATGACTTAAAGGAGTTAAGATGTGACATAACAGCGAAACTACAAGACACTGCAGAGGAAGACTTGGAGGACTGTTAAGGAAACTGCTAAGTCAAGGTCTAACAGTGTCTGACCGAAGGACTTCAGGAGCATCTAAAGACAACAAAGACAACAGAAACAATAGTTGGTTTACTATCGACTATTATCTGACTATAATGCAACTATACTGACTATACTCACCAGCTGTACTATACTATACTGTATATAGGATCTCTCTCAGGCTTCCATTCCACTGACTTACTGTAAAGAGGAGGAGGAAGAGGAGGGGAGAAAAGGAGGAAGGAAAGTGAACATCTTGGAGAGGATTACTACAGTAAACAAAGAGGGGGAGACAGACTGGAGGGGATGATTGGCTTAACAATGTGAACAGATCCACACACTCACACACACACGTTTTGCCCGCGCTACAGACGGCTAATACAGGACTAGTAATGGCCTAGTGCACTTCTTCTGTGAAAATATTTTTTTTTGATTGTATTAATATACCATAGACGCTCACGCCCCTCATCACCCTGTGGTCAGGGTGTCTAGCAGTGCTGGTACCGGGAGTAATGGGACCCCAGGGCCCAGAGTAGCAGCTGCCGGGAACGGGACCCTCTGGGAGTGGAGGAACACCACCAGCGGGAGCCTGGCGAGCGTCGGTGAGCAGGGCAAGAGGGGGGCGCTGCAGCGCCAGGAGAAAGTCACTGCACCGGAATATCAGGAATACCGCACACTTCCCGTGAAATCAGACTCTATCTGCTCCTCCTCTCCCAGCGAGACGGATTCCACCACCCTGCCTCCCCCTCCTCACCCCATCTCCTCTCCACTTCCTCCCTTCTCCCGCCTCCCCCCCCTGCCTCCCCCTCCTCAACCCTCTCCTCCCCCCTCCCTCCCCCTTCTCCCCCCTCCTACTCCCCCTCCCTCCCCCTTCTACTCTCCTCCCCCCTCCTGATCCAGATCTGCTGTTGAACAGTCACTGTCAACCCCTCCCCCGCTCTATGACCCTCCCCCGCCGGCCCACTGTCTCAGCCCACAGCCGCGCTGATCAAGAAGTCTATTACAAGACCATGCAGACGGAGAGGAGATTATAACGCGACATAGAGGAGTTATAATAGACGTAACCTACTAAAACTCTGCAGACTACCAGGTTAGAAGACATAGGGGACTTGCAGAGCGAGAGGTTATAAGACGCATAGGGCAGTTATTGATAGACAGTAGTACACTACATGACCATACATCAGGGAAGTTATTAATGTGACACAGTTTTGGGGAGACCTAATGTCAGGGGAAGTTATTAAATGTGACACAGTTTGGGGAGACCTAACAGTCAAGAGAACTACTACATGACTTAAATGAGTGAGAGGAGGTTATGAGATGACTTAGGAGTTGAAATATAATATAATGGAGGTTATAACTTGGCATAGAGGAGTGACATTAACCAAGAACACTACTTCAACACTGAGAAAGGGTCCAGATGGAAACAGATAGACAAATAGCTGTTCTACAAGACCCTGCTGTGTAAGAGAAGGCCGTGAGATGACTTAAAGGAGTTAAGATGTGACATAACAGCGAAACTACAAGACACTGCAGAGGAAGACTTGGAGGACTGTTAAGGAAACTGCTAAGTCAAGGTCTAACAGTGTCTGACCGAAGGACTTCAGGAGCATCTAAAGACAACAAAGACAACAGAAACAATAGTTGGTTTACTATCGACTATTATCTGACTATAATGCAACTATACTGACTATACTCACCAGCTGTACTATACTATACTGTATATAGGATCTCTCTCAGGCTTCCATTCCACTGACTTACTGTAAAGAGGAGGAGGAAGAGGAGGGGAGAAAAGGAGGAAGGAAAGTGAACATCTTGGAGAGGATTACTACAGTAAACAAAGAGGGGGAGACAGACTGGAGGGGATGATTGGCTTAACAATGTGAACAGATCCACACACTCACACACACACGTTTTGCGCGCTACAGACGGCTAATACAGGACTAGTAATGGCCCAGTGCACTTCTGTGAAAATACAATTTTTTGATTTTTGATGGTATTAATATATTTTTTAATTCTGATTTTTCAGGGGGTGCTACTTCCCGTGGCTACACACAAACACACACACACGCACACACACACACACACACTCAACCAACCACCTCTAATTGTATAAAATGACATGCAATAATATCAATGTTTTTCAAGCTCTTTTTTAAAACGAATCAAATCCCCACTGACAATACAATAAGATAAATGGTGACAAAAGACTGTATAGGCTTGTCAGTGTGTGGGTGTGGTCTGTGTGCATCGGTTGCCTAGTAGCAGATTTTCCTTTTGTTCTGTAGTGGATATCCTCTTTTGGTAATAGAACTGTTGAGTACTGGTGTTAGTCTGCATGTGTATGTACAGGTATGTCTGTGTGAGAGTGTGTCTGTCTTGCATGTGTGTTTATCTGTGTGTGAGTGAGTGTATTCTGTTTCATTGTGTTTCAATGAACTTGCATTATGACTTTTAAGAAATAGAAATGCTGCATTTTCCAGAGATGTCCTTAGTTTACCTTGTGTTTTTATTACCAATGTAAATATAATATTATATTATTGTCCTTTTTCATGGGCTGCTGTTTTTTTAAAACTTGTGTTTCCAGGTAATGGTTATAAACTCCTTGACTAAGGAAACATCTATTTGTAAATTCATTGAAGTTTGTGTGACTGACCAGCATTGGTGGTTTATGTGTCTCAAGACCATGTTAGCCCATTGAGCTGAAGCATAGACATTAGGTTAGAGGAGTCTTTAGTTGTCAAGAATACAGCTGTTATCCCTGGAGTAGTGAAAAAGATCCTGTATTGATTCACACACACATACACACACACAGGATGTGGGTTGTTATCAGATATCTTTAATGAATTCTACTATTGGTTAGTCCCTGCTAACCCCTTGTAAAATCTATACTCCTAATACAGAGAGAGAGAGAGAGAGAGAAGGGAGACGAGAGAGAAAGAGAAGGGAGGGGTAAAGAGAGAGGAGAGAGGGTAGAGGGAGAAGAGACAGAGCGAGGGAAGGAGGAGAGAGAGTTAGGTCCCCACCCTCCCCCCCACTGAGGGCTGAGTCAGGTCCTGGTCGACTATCCCTAGGCCCTCACCATCTGGCCTCTACACATACACACACAAACACACTCACTTCCGTCTGGTTAACGCTCTGCAGCAGTGTGTGTGTGTGTGTAGGGCTGTCTGGAGGACTGAGGTGGCCTTCATATGAGGAGTGAATCAACAGAAAAACACAAAAGGTATTTTTTCCCCTCTCTCCTTCCTCCGCTCTGTCTCGATCCCTTCTTTCTGTCTGTCTCGATCCCTTCTTTCTGTCTGTCTCGATCCCTTCTTTCTGTCTCAATCCCCTCTCTCTGTCTCTCTATATCTCTTTTTCTCTACTGTCTGTCCATATCTCTCTCTCTCTCTCTCTCTCTCTCTCTCTCTCTACTGTCTGTCCATATCTTCTCTCTCGTCTCTCTCTCTCTCTACTAACTTTCTGTCCATATCTCCTCTCTCTCTCTCCTCTAACTGTCTGTCCATATCTCTTTCTCTCATCTCTTTCTCTCTATCCTTCCCTCCATAGTCTCTTTCCTCTCTACTGTCTGTCCATATCTCTTTCTCTCTACTGTCCCTCCATATCTCTTTCTCTCTCTACTGTCTGTTCATATATCTCTCTCTCTCTCTCTACTGTCCCTCCAGATCTCTCTCTCTCTAACTGTCCCTCCATATCTCTCTCTCTATACTGTCCCTCCATATCTCTCTCTCTCTCTCTACTGTCCCTCCATATCTCTCTCTCTCTCTCTACTGTCCCTCCATATCTCTCTCTCTCTCATCTACTGTCCCCATAGCTCTTCCCTACTGTTCCCTCCATATCTCTTTCCTCTCTACTGTCTGTCCATTATCCTCTTTCTCTCTCTAAACTGTCCCTTCCAGATCTCTTTCCTCCTACTGGCTGTCCCTATCCTTTCCTCTCTCTACTGTCCCTCCATATCTCTTTCTGTCTCACTTCTCACAGAGAGATGAAGAGACAGATGGAAAGATAGAGAGATAAAGAGAGAACAACAGACAGTGATGCAGAAAGATATATTTGAGGATGCGTGGGTTAATGTGTGTGTGTGTGTTCTAACATGCGTGACTAAGACTAAAATATCCTGCAGGCTTCACCACACAGACCAGGGTCACTGGGAATGGGGACCGTGTGTGTGTGTGTGTGTAAGTATGTGGGTGTGTGTGTGTATATATTCCCCAACCGCTGCTCCTTATGCCTGAGTAAATATGTAAATATGTCAGACGTATAACATCCATACATTTAGATACAACTGTTGTCTGACCTCATTTTTGTTCAGTGACACATATACACACACACTCACACACACACACTTGTACAGATGAGATAAATCTGAGCTTTGATTCATATGAGTGAGGAGCGGCAGTGTTCTAATTGCTCATTAGGATGACGTCATCAGAGCGTGTGACTCTGGGTGGATTAAGGATGCGAGGTTTCTCTTTTAATTTCACAGCGGATTACTATAACTGGGTGCTTTTGTCTGTGTGTGTGTGTGTGCACTCCGTGTGTGTGTGTGTGTGTATGTGTTGGGGGGGGGGTTCTCTGTGTTGCTAAATATCACACAATTGAGGGAAAGGCATGGAATAAAAATGGTTACTACTATGATAGTGAAATATTATAATATATTCCTTCTCATCCATCAAAGAATGTTACAGTTGCTTAGTTAAATGGGTTGTGTTTGTGTGTGTGTATATGTATGTGTGCGCGTGTGTGTGAGATCCAGGTGCCACCTTGTGGTATAGACTGTCATTACAGTCTGTGGTAATTTGTTCCATTAAAACCAGTATATAAATGTTTATTTCAAAATATGGAAATGATATACAACAACATGACATAAGTCCCAATAATACGCTGATACAATTCTGTTGTGTGTGAGAATGAGACGGATAGCTGTTGTTATAGGCAGCATCATGGCACACTGAACACAACCCATCAAGACCAGAACAACATATCTGCAACACTTCAACAAACATCTCTTCAGTTCAGGTAACCTAGCTACCTGCATCTCTTCTAGAACACCTGCTATAGGCTCAAATACAACCGCCTTTTCTATTTCCGCGTCCACCTTTTTCATTCACTTCAAGCACTGACTATAGTTTCTGTATAGTTACATTTGATAACACCAAATTCCATTGAAGTAAATTCAATTAAACTGCATAGTATCAGACCAACTCAAGGTCCTTATAAAGGATTTGTCAGGACAATGACAGTGGACACGCGTGGTTTGCACCCTGGGATAGCCGATTCTTACACAGTTGGGCGGAGATAGCACTTGATTGAACATTTAGGAGCCCCATGTGTACCTTGAACGACTCACTCAGAACTGACTACAGACCTGGGGTGTATACATTAGTCGCAAACCACTGCAACGGAAACCGTTTGCTCCAAACAAAAAAACGTTCTGCAACAAAAAACTAGAGAATTCTATTGGACAAATTCAGGTAGGTCCCTCCCTGTTTTGTTCTGTTTGGTTCCTAGTGAATACACCCCAGGGGTGCAACGGAAAATAAAAGAAAAAGGAAACACCTAGCAGAGACAAACAGTAGATGGTTAAAGTTCTGATCATCATTTTGTAACAGACAGCAGCCGTTGACATCAGAGGCAAATGGACCAGGGCTACATCTCCGTCTGTCATTGTTAGAGAAACGATAATTGCTTTTTAAAACTGTCTGATAGTTTTACTTCATTCGCTGCCTTGTAAATCATTTGGACCTGTTTGATACTTTTCCAGCCCATCTGATTGGTTATTTATTAGAACACAACAGACCAATCAAACGACTAACACAAACTCTTCTGGGTGTCCTTGGGGGCGGGACGTTCTCTAACCAGATTTCCAGTGCCGGCACTGGATTGGCTAGCTCTCGGTCTGTCCAGACTAGCTCCTGTCCGTGTTTGGACAGTTCTCCCCCTCTCCTGGTCCTTCACTGCACCTGATTGCCTGACTCTTCCTCTCTCCAGGCTGGTGGAGTTACGTGATTGAACAGTTCTTTCTCCCTGCAGTGTATTGACAGCACCTGATTGGTTGGTTGTCCCTCTGTCCAGGCTGGCGGAGGTTTTTGATTGGATCGCTGTCCTCCTCTGTAGGGTGTTCAGAGCTTCTGATTGGCTGTTCCTCCCTGTCTGCAGAATGTTGGAGGCATGTGATTGGCTGCTCCCATTTTTGTCCAGGCTTTTTGATTGGTCGTTTCTTTCTCTCTCAGTTTGTGATTGGTGTAACAGTCTGTCCCTGTCTGTGTCCTGTCTGGCTGCTTGTCTCCCAGTGGAACTGTCCCTGTTTGTCCTGTCTCTGTTTCTGCCACTCCTTTCTTTCTCCTGGTCTCTTTCCTCCTTGGTTCTATCTTTCTCTACGTTGGTTCTCACTCTCTCCAGGCTTTGTGACTGGCCAACCTTCTCTTTCTCCAGTTTGACAGCAGTAGCTGTGCTCTGGTTCATTTTCTGGTTCTCCAGGCAGGTCTGTATCTCGGCCCTCCTGACCATGGCGTCTCTCAGCTGGGCTGTGAACGTCTCAATCCTCCCCTGGACCTCCTGGAGCTCTCCCTCCCACAGGAAGGCCTGGCTGCCTGGGTTCCCCAGGGGAGGCAGGGCCAGGCCGGAGGAGGCCAGGGCCGATGCTGGGCCACCGTTAGCATGCAGGCTAACCTGAGGAGGAGCTAAACCACCCAGACACCCTGGAACAGAGAGGGGAAGATAGAAACTTTGTGTGACCTTTTCTCTGAAACGCATTGAAAGGAATGTGATTTGTGGATTCAAATAAAGCATTTAAAGTGTGTGTGTGGTTTTACTATCCTTCTGGGTACCAGAAGTTCTCACAAGGACAGTAAAACCAGGAACATTCTGTGGACATTTCGCCGATCCCCACACGGAAAACAACTATTTTAGGCTTAGGGGTTAGGTTTAGGGTTAGAATTAGGGTTAGGAGTTAGGGTTAGGTTTAGTTTTAGGATTAGGTGTTTGGGGTTAAGGTTAGGTTAAGGGTTAGGGAAAATAGGATTTTGAATGGGAATAAATGTTTTGGCCCCCACAAGGATAGTAAAACAAATGTGTGTGTGAGAATGAGTGTGTACCTCCCAGGCCGTGTCGCCCCACCATGCCAGGCCGCCCCCGGAAGGAGGCGGTGTGTGTGTGTAGACGGTAGCTGTGCAGGCTCTCCAGATCAAAGTGGACCCTCTTGTTCTCCTTGATGTCCCGGGCAGGGGAGGAGGGCTGAGGAGGAGGGGGGGCAGGGAGGGGGGAAGAGAGGGGAGGAGGAGTGCGAGGCTGCTGGTGTCTGTGGAGGCTGCAGCTGTCAGAGATACAAGGGGAGGGACTGGGAGAGAGAGAGAGAGAGAGAGAGAGAGAGAGAGAGAGAGAGAGAGAGAGGAGAGAGAGGAGAGAGAGAGAGAGAGAGAGAGAGAGAGAGAGAGAGAGAAAGAGCGTGACAGGTCAGTTTACTGAGTTGAACAACAAAAGTCTGTCAGCTGCAGTTGAAAGGAACTCGTACTGTAATATATATATATTTTAATTTTTAATCAATTTGCAAAAATGTCTACAAACCTGTTTTTGCATTGTCATTATGGGGTATTGTGTGTAGATTTATGAGGAAAGAAAACAATTTAATCCATTTTAGAATAAGGCTGTAACGTAACAAAATGTGGAAACGGTCAAGGGGTCTAAATACTTTTCGAATGCACTGTATATAGTATTGATAACCTATACTAATATTGACAGTATTGATAACCTATACTGTAATATAGACAGTATTGATAACCTATACTGTAATATATACAGTATTGATAACCTATACTGTAACATAGATATTATTGATAACCTATACTGTAGTATATAGTATTGATAACCTAAACTGTAATATTGACAGTATTGATAACCTATACTGTAATATAGATATGACTGATAACCTATACTGTAGTATAGATAGTATTGATAACCTATACTGTAAAATAGACAGTATTGATAACCTATACTGTAATATAGATAGTATCGATAACCTATACTGTAATATAGATATTATTGATAACCTATACTGTAATATATATATTATTGATAACCTATACTGTAGTATAGATAGTATTGATAACCTATCCTGAAATATAGATAGTATTGATAACCTACACTGTAATATTGACAGTATTGATAAGCTATACTGTAATAAAGATAGTATTGATAACCTATACTGTAATATAGATAGTATTGATAACTTATACTGTAATATAGATAGTATTGATAACCTATACTGTGATATAGATAGTATTGATAACATATACTATAATATAGTTAGTATTTATAACCTATACTCTAATAAAGATAGTATTGATAACCTATACTGTAATATAGATAGTATTGATAACCTATACTCGAATATAGATAGTATTGATAAGTATTTCTCTACTTGTGGTCCAGGCCAATCAACTCTTTCCCAATGTCCTCGTAAGGGGTGTTCACGGCTCGATGGATCTTCTGTCAATAGATAGATAATACAACACAGATGAGAGAACATTCACTCAATAAAGATCACCTTGATAAGATCACCTTGTTAACAGGTTTTTAAAAGTGTGAAATTCCAACTATCTTAGTTACTATTAACAGCTTGGTGGCTTGCTATAGATCTAGTTTATGAGTGTGTGTGCGTGTGTGTGTGTGTGTGTGTGTACGTACCTGGCTGGTATGCAACCAGTAGGTTAGTGTGTGTGACCGTCGTAGCCGGGGCAGGGCTAGGTGATAGAAGGTGTGTTCAGCTGCCAAGGTAAAGATGGCTCCAACCACCCCCACACACAACATCACAAACAGGCCTGAGAAATGATCTATCCCCATCGATAAATTCTGGGGGAGAGAGAGAGAGTCCGAAAGAGGGAGAGATAGAAGGCAAGAGAGGTGTGTGAGAGAGAGAGAAAGAGAGAGAGAGAGAGTGAGAGACAGAGGTAGAGCGAGAGAGAGGGCAAGAGAGGGTGAGTAAGAGAGCCGGAGCGAGATTAGAGGAGAGAGCGAGAGAGAGAGAGAGACGAGACGCAGTATAGGATAGACAGATAGAGAGAGTATGAGACCGAGAGGAGAGAGAGAGTATTTATTTTAGGATCCCCAATTAGCTGCTGCTGAGGCAGTGGCTACTCTTCCTGAGGTCCAAACAGGAAACAACACAACAAATAAAACACATAATATACATAAATATACATAGCACTACATTTACATAAAAAAGTAGCCATTCAGCAGATGCTCCCATCCAGAGAGACCCAAAGCTAATGCATTCATCTTAATACAGCCAGGCGAAACAACCACATATCACAGTCGTATCCCAACCACGCATCATATACATAATACAATACAAAATGCATATGTGTCTCTTCACAGTCCCCGGTTTTGCCGTAAGGTGTTTTTTTATCTGTTTTTTAAAATCTGGGATGAGGTTGACTGTGGTTCCAACAGTGGCCACAAGATGGCAGAGTGAACCAATAGTTCCACTTCCTCCTTCATCATCATTTACATTTACATCATTTAGCAGACACTCTTATCCAGAGCGACTTACAGTTAGTGAGTGCATACATTTTCATACTGGCCCCCCGTGGGAATCGAACCCACAACCCTGGCGTTGCAAGCGCCATGCTCTACCAACTGAGCTACACGGGGCTACATCACATCACTGGCTCTGAGTAAAACTACAGCCAGTTGCTTCCACCTATAAGTGATGACCTTAAAGGGGCAATCTGCAGTTGCTACATACATTTTTGGACTTATAAATGAATTACAGTGAGGGAAGAAAGTATTTGATCCCCTGCTGATTTTGTACGTTTGCCCACTGACAAAGAAATGATCAGTCTATAATTTTAATGGTAGGTTTATTTGAACAGTGAGAGACAGAATAACAACAACACAAATCCAGAAAAACGCATGTCAAAAATGTTATAAATTGATTTGAATTTTAATGAGGGAAATAAGTATTTGACCCCCTCTCAATCAGAAAGATTTCTGGCTCCCAGGTGTCTTTTATACAGGTAACGAGCTGTGATTAGGAGCACACTCTTAAAGGGAGTGCTCCTAATCTCAGTTTGTTACCTGTATAAAAGACACCTGTCCACAGAAGCAATCAATCAATCAGATTCCAAACTCTCTGTCACACCCTGGCTATGGGACTCTAGTTGTTGAGCCAGGGTGTGTTTGTTCTATGTGGTGTGTTTCTATGTCGGGGGTTCTGGTTTGTTGTTTTCTATGTTTGCCTTAGTGACTCCCAATCAGAGGCAACGAGTGTCAGCTGTTGGCTGGTTGTCTCTGATTGGGAGCCATATTTAACTGTCTGTTTTTCACTTTGTGTTTGTGGGTTTTTGTTCCGTGTCGGTATATGTTTACCGTTGGACGTTACGAGTCGTTTATTGTTTTGTTCGGGCTTGATTTAATAAAGTCTTATCATGTTCACATTCAACGCTGCGCCTTGGTCCTCCTCATTGGTAGACGATCGTGACAGAAAAACCCACCAAGATGTGACCAAGCAGCGTGTCCAGGAGCCATCGCCAGGGAGATCCCTAACAGATCTCCTTCGCCTCCTCGACTGGGTCAAGCCGAGTGAGGAAGAGAAGGGCTTGACTTTGTGGCAGAAGGGCGAAAGGCTGGCGAGAGACATGGAGGCCTGGTCCACGGGAGAGACGCCCAGAAATTTTTTAGGGGGGGGCTAACGCCGTGGACGACGGGCCAGCAGGAGACCGCGGCAGAGCGGCCCAACGGAGTGGCAGAGGAGGCCGCCAGGTTACGGGGGGCCACTGGTCGAAGAGGGGGTGGAAGATGTAGAGGCACGGCGAGAGGGTACTGGCGTGTGTTGCCAGTCCGGTCCGGCCGGTTCCTGATCCCCACGTAGGGCCAGTGGTGTGTGTTCCCAGTACGGTCCGGCCTGTTCCTGCCACTCGCACCAAGTCTACGGTGCGCATCGCCAGCCCAGTCCGGCCCATTCCTGCTCTCCGCACCAAGTCTGTGGTGCGCGTCGCCAGCCCAGTCCGGCCCATCCAAGCTCCCCGCACCAAGTCTGGGGTGCGCGTCGCCAGCCCAGTCCGGCCCATCCAAGCTCCCCGCACCAAGTCAGTGGTGCGCTACGTCAGCCCGGCTCGGTCCGCTCCTGCTCCCCACACCAAGTCTGTGGTGCGTTTTCGTCAGCCCTGTCCGGCCCGTTCCTGCTCTCCGCACCAAGTCTGTGGTGCGCGTCGCCAGCCCAGTCCGGGCCCATTCCTGCTCCCCGCACCAAGTCTGTGGTGCGTTTCGTCAGCCCTGTCCGGCCCGTTCCTGCTCTCCGCACCAAGTCTGTGGTGCGCGTCGCCAGCCCAGTCCGGCCCATCCAAGCTCCCCGCACCAAGTCTGTGGTGCGTTTCGTCAGCCCTGTCCGGCCCGTTCCTGCTCTCCGCACCAAGTCTGTGGTGCGCGTCGCCAGCCCAGTCCGGCCCATTCCTGCTCCCCGCACCAAGTCTGTGGTGCGTTTCGTCAGCCCTGTCCGGCCCGTTCCTGCTCTCCGCACCAAGTCTGTGGTGCGCGTCGCCAGCCCAGTCCGGCCCATCCAAGCTCCCCGCACCAAGTCTGTGGTGCGCGTCGCCAGCCCAGTCCGGCCCATCCAAGCTCCCCGCACCAAGTCAGTGGTGCGCTACGTCAGCCCGGCTCGGTCCACTCCTGCTCCCCACACCAAGCCAGTGGTGTGCGTCGTCAGTCCGGCACGGCCCGTGCCTGTTCCACCGGTGGCGGATCCGGCACCGGTCAGGTGCTGCGTCACGCCGGAGCTAGAGCAATCCGCTCCACCAGTGTTCAGTTCAGCTCTGGTCAGCAGGGCCAGACCGGACCAGGGGTACTTTGGGGGGTTAGAGAAGGAGTGGGGGTCAAGCCCGGAGCCAGAACCGCCGCCGAGGAGGTATGCCCACCCAGCCCTCCCCTGTTTTGCTCTTTTTGAGGCGCGGTCGCAGTCCGCGCCTTTAGGGGGGGGGTACTGTCACACCCTGGCTATGGGACTCTAGTTGTTGAGCCAGGGTGTGTTTGTTCTATGTGGTGTGTTTTCTATGTCGGGGGTTCTGGTTTGTTGTTTTCTATGTTTGCCTTAGTGACTCCCAATCAGAGGCAACGAGTGTCAGCTGTTGGCTGGTTGTCTCTGATTGGGAGCCATATTTAACTGTCTGTTTTTCACTTTGTGTTTGTGGGTTTTTGTTCCGTGTCGGTATATGTTTACCGTTGGACGTTACGAGTCGTTTATTGTTTTGTTCGGGCTTGATTTAATAAAGTCTTATCATGTTCACATTCAACGCTGCGCCTTGGTCCTCCTCATTGGTAGACGATCGTGACAGAAAAACCCACCAAGATGTGACCAAGCAGCGTGTCCAGGAGCCATCGCCAGGGAGATCCCTAACAGATCTCCTTCGCCTCCTCGACTGGGTCAAGCCGAGTGAGGAAGAGAAGGGCTTGACTTTGTGGCAGAAGGGCGAAAGGCTGGCGAGAGACATGGAGGCCTGGTCCACGGGGAGAGACGCCCAGAAATTTTTTAGGGGGGGGCTAACGCCGTGGACGACGGGCCAGCAGGAGACCGCGGCAGAGCGGCCCAACGGAGTGGCAGAGGAGGCCGCCAGGTTACGGGGGCCACTGGTCGAAGAGGGGGTGGAAGATGTAGAGGCACGGCGAGAGGTACTGGCGTGTGTTGCCAGTCCGGTCCGGCCGGTTCCTGATCCCCACGTAGGGCCAGTGGTGTGTGTTCCCAGTACGGTCCGGCCTGTTCCTGCCACTCGCACCAAGTCTACGGTGCGCATCGCCAGCCCAGTCCGGCCCATTCCTGCTCTCCGCACCAAGTCTGTGGTGCGCGTCGCCAGCCCAGTCCGGCCCATCCAAGCTCCCCGCACCAAGTCTGGGGTGCGCGTCGCCAGCCCAGTCCGGCCCATCCAAGCTCCCCGCACCAAGTCAGTGGTGCGCTACGTCAGCCCGGCTCGGTCCGCTCCTGCTCCCCACACCAAGTCTGTGGTGCGTTTCGTCAGCCCTGTCCGGCCCGTTCCTGCTCTCCGCACCAAGTCTGTGGTGCGCGTCGCCAGCCCAGTCCGGCCCATTCCTGCTCCCCGCACCAAGTCTGTGGTGCGTTTCGTCAGCCCTGTCCGGCCCGTTCCTGCTCTCCGCACCAAGTCTGTGGTGCGCGTCGCCAGCCCAGTCCGGCCCATCCAAGCTCCCCGCACCAAGTCTGTGGTGCGTTTCGTCAGCCCTGTCCGGCCCGTTCCTGCTCTCCGCACCAAGTCTGTGGTGCGCGTCGCCAGCCCAGTCCGGCCCATTCCTGCTCCCCGCACCAAGTCTGTGGTGCGTTTCGTCAGCCCTGTCCGGCCCGTTCCTGCTCTCCGCACCAAGTCTGTGGTGCGCGTCGCCAGCCCAGTCCGGCCCATCCAAGCTCCCCGCACCAAGTCTGTGGTGCGCGTCGCCAGCCCAGTCCGGCCCATCCAAGCTCCCCGCACCAAGTCAGTGGTGCGCTACGTCAGCCCGGCTCGGTCCACTCCTGCTCCCCACACCAAGCCAGTGGTGTGCGTCGTCAGTCCGGCACGGCCCGTGCCTGTTCCACCGGTGGCGGATCCGGCACCGGTCAGGTGCTGCGTCACGCCGGAGCTAGAGCAATCCGCTCCACCAGTGTTCAGTTCAGCTCTGGTCAGCAGGGCCAGACCGGACCAGGGGTACTTTGGGGGGTTAGAGAAGGAGTGGGGGTCAAGCCCGGAGCCAGAACCGCCGCCGAGGAGGTATGCCCACCCAGCCCTCCCCTGTTTTGCTCTTTTTGAGGCGCGGTCGCAGTCCGCGCCTTTAGGGGGGGGTACTGTCACACCCCTGGCTATGGGACTCTAGTTGTTGAGCCAGGGTGTGTTTGTTCTATGTGGTGTGTTTCTATGTCGGGGGTTCTGGTTTGTTGTTTTCTATGTTTGCCTTAGTGACTCCCAATCAGAGGCAACGAGTGTCAGCTGTTGGCTGGTTGTCTCTGATTGGGAGCCATATTTAACTGTCTGTTTTTCACTTTGTGTTTGTGGGTTTTTGTTCCGTGTCGGTATATGTTTACCGTTGGACGTTACGAGTCGTTTATTGTTTTGTTCGGGCTTGATTTAATAAAGTCTTATCATGTTCACATTCAACGCTGCGCCTTGGTCCTCCTCATTGGTAGACGATCGTGACACTCTCCACCATGGCCAAGACCAAAGAGCTCTCCAAGGATGTCAGGGACAAGATTGTAGACCTACACAAGGCTGGAATGGGCTACAAGACCATCGCCAAGCAGCTTGGTGAGAAGGTGACAACAGTTGGTGTGATTATTCGCAAATGGAAGAAACACAAAAGAACTGTCAATCTCCCTCGGCCTGGGGCTCCATGCAAGCTCACCTAGTGGAGTTGCAATGATCATGAGAACGGTGAGGAATCAGCCCAGAACTCCACGGGAGGATCTTGTCAATGATCTCAAGGCGGCTGGGACCATAGTCACCAAGATAACAATTGGTAACACACTACGCCGTGAAGGACTGAAATCCTGCAGCGCCCGCAAGGTCCCCCTGCTCAAGAAAGCACATATACAGGGCCGTCTGAAGTTTGCCAATGAACATCTGAATGATTCAGAGGAGAACTGGGTGAAAGTGTTGTGGTCAGATGAGACCAAAATGGAGCTCTTTGGCATCAACTCAACTCGCCGTGTTTGGAAGAGGAGGAATGCTGCCTATGACCCCAAGAACACCATCCCCACCGTCAAACATGGAGGTGGAAACATTATGCTTTGGGGGTGTTTTTCTGCTAAGGGGACAGGACAACTTCACCGCATCAAAGGGACGATGGACGGGGCCATGTACCGTCAAATCTTGGGTGAGAACCTCCTTCCCTCAGCCAGGGCATTGAAAATGGGTCGTGGATGGGTATTCCGGCATGACAATGACCCAAAACACACGGCCAAGGCAACAAAGGAGTGGCAATGGAAGAAGCACATTAAGGTCCTGGAGTGGCCTAGCCAGTCTCCAGACCTTAATCCCATAGAAAATCTGTGGAGGGAGCTGAAGGTTCGAGTTGCCAAACGTCAGCCTCGAAACCTTAATGACTTGGAGAAGATCTGCAAAGAGGAGTGGAACAAAATCCCTCCTGAGATGTGTGCAAACCTGGTGGCCAACTACAAGAAACGTCTGACCTCTGTGATTGCCAACAAGGATTTTGCCACCAAGTACTAAGTCATGTTTTGCAGAGGGGTCAAATACTTATTTCCCTCATTAAAATGCAAATCAATTTATAACATTTTTGACATGCGTTTTTCTGGATTTTTTTGTTGTATTCTGTCTCTCACTGTTCAAATAAACCTACCATTAAAATTATAGACTGATCATTTCTTTGTCAGTGGGCAAACGTACAAAATCAGCAGGGGATCAAATACTTTTTTCCCTCACTGTATATGTATCCATTGATTCTTGAAGAGTATAACTTACTAATGCCTCATGAGCTTCGTTCAAATGTCGTACCCCATCAGAACTATAAGCTTGTTTTACTCCAATGTTTGTAAACAAAGTAAATGTAAACAAACACTATATAGCCTAAATAAATTAATTATATAATGGATGGTCAGTCCTTGCATCCATAGCTCTGTCTATGAATTTGAGAGTGGTTACATTTCTCCAGCCCCTTACCTCAGCTTTTTACTGAAACAGGGGAGTGCCCTTTGTTTTAGTTTCAACTGCTGATTGCCCCTTTAAAGAAGGTAGGAAGTATTCAAACAGGGCAATGTCCTTCTCTCTCTGCTATCCCACAATAACCATCTCCATGATCTACAGAGACACAAGTCTTCTGACCAGAACGAATAGCACCCTTCTCTCTCTATTTCCTCTAGAAGCACCTGGAACGACACAAGGTGATGTGAGCAAGCCCATGTGACCGAGTTACACCTTGGATCGTGGACACAGAGTTACACCTTGGATCGTGGACTTCTGTCCTGCATGAAGTTGTTATTCTGTAGAACTGCCTCAAGGTTGTCTGCTCTATAGATTCTAACTTCTGAATAAATATGAAGAATATCATCCCTCTGATCCAGAGATTTTCTCCTGGCCCTAAGCCTTTCTCTCTCTGGGGAGAGGGGGATGTGGCTGGCTCTAGTAGTAAACACACGCACGCACACGCGCGCGCGCACACACACACACACACACACACACACACACACACACACACACCCCTACACACACACACACACACCCCTACACACACACACACACACACATACACATACACACACACACACACCCCTACACACACCCCTACACACACACATTTTATCTCAGATGCCAAGGGATAGAAGGAGGAGTGAAGGTAACAGAGTCTTTGCCAGCAGCTATATATCAGGTCTGTAGATAGGATTGGATGTGTGTGTGTGTGTGTGTGCCTGGAAGCGAGTCCTGTTTGTCTCTGTCCCAGCGGGAGGCTGAGATACGGGACTAGTATGCTGGCTGGGCTGGCTGTATATCAACACTATGGGGGAAGCAGGTGTGTGTTTGTGAAGAAAGAGTACCACTTTGTCAGCAAAATCAATATGAGGAGTCTCTCTGGCAGTTAGAGGTCAGTTAGAGGTAGGACAAGCCAACAAACAGACACACCACAGAATATAGAGAGTTTGGTTGTTGTGGTTTCTGTCGACTATGACCTTAAACACACACACACACGCACGCACACACACACACGCACACACACACTCACTCACCTCAGTGTTAGTGAATACTCTCTTCCCACATGGCACCACCTTGTACCATTTCTCATGTAATATGTCCATGTACCTGCAACAACACGTCATGTTAATACTAGCGTTAGATTTAAAAAATAAATGAACTGAAGACAAGGAGGGTGATATGCACATCCGTAACTTGAGAATACCGTTGGGCTAAGCAATAATAGTCCCAACAACATGAGAGAACAACACAGAATATTACTGCTCCCCAGTGCTTTATTCCTGAACTCAAAAATACAATTTCAACTTCATCAGATCTGACAGGTGAAGTCGAGGCAGATGTGGGGGCCTGTCATTACATTAGTGAAATACTACACATAACTTAGCTCATACTCTTTTACATGCTGTAAGCCTGTGTTTGTGTGTGTGTGTGTGTGTTACCGTACCCTTCTGACTTGTAGCGACTGATGAATTCAGACACGTTGGCAGTGAGAGGAGAGCCTTGGGCAACACCTATACCATACCCTGGACACACACACACACACACACACACACACACACACACACACACACACACACACACACACACACACACACACACACACACACACACACACACACACACACACACGTACAGAGTTAAATCATCTGTCTGTCACAGTGAATAGCTAGCCTGGTCCCAGATATTTTAGTACTCTTACAAACGTCCTTGTTGTCATTGTCAAGTCAAACATGTTTGGCATGACACTGAGTGACAATGTGTTGGCATTATTGCACAAACAGACTGGCATACCATTGAAAACATTTATAACATTTTTGGGGGGAATGTTTGTGTGTGTGTGTATGTCTATCTTACCCTCTATAGCGAAAGGCTTGCCCACAGTCGCTAGTTTACACTCAGCATCGATGGAGACTTCGTAGTCCAATAGAGCTTTATCCATGATGAATGCATCTAGTAGGGGAGGATCTGTCCTAACATACACATACACACACACACACACACACACACACACACACACACACACACACACACACACAAACAAACACACAAACATGCAGATAAACATGCAGATAAATGCAAAGCCACAACAATCAGATATGCAGAACTTTAATAACAATAATATTATTGCATTGAGGTCCTCTGGGGTAATTTATAAAACAGACTTTATAAAATAATAATATGCCATTTAGCAGACGCTTTTATCCAAAGCGACTTACAGTCATGCGTGCATACATTTTTTTTTTTGTGTATGGGTGGTCCCGGGGATCGAACCCACTACCTTAGCGTTACAAGCGCCGTGCTCTACCAGCTGAGCTACAGAGGACCACTTATGATTGCAATACACTTAACAATGTAAACAATCCAACATAAACTCACACCCTACACAGGTGGGGATGTGTGTGTTTGTGTGTGTGTATATTTGTGTGTGTGTGTGTGTGTGTATCTACAGTTTTGAGAGGCAGTTTAACTGCATCCGGTACATTCTATTAAATGCCTGGAGACGTGGGGAATTAAGAGTAAATTAAACAATTTAGCATAACACAACACTTGGGTAACTGGTTGGTTAGCCAACAGACTGTGTGTGGGTCTTACTTTAACATATCCACTCCGTCTGGTGTGGTGGGTTGGTTGTAACGTCTCATGTAGTCATGCATGGCAGAGAAACTCTTCCTCATGTAGTCCTCTGCAGAGCTCTCTCTGACTGTCCCAAACCTGAACCCACGGGACGGGTGGTGGAGCTGGGAGGGAGAGGGGGAGAGGGAGGAGGGGGGGGGGGGGGGGGGGGGGGGAGAGGGAGAGGGGGGGGGGGAGGGGAAGGGGAAGGGGGAGGGGGAGAGAAAATTATTTGAAGGTAAGGAGAATTCATTAAGAAAAGGAGGGTGATATGCACAACCGTAAGTTGAGAATACTGGTGCAGGGCTAAAAAGTATTCCATATAAAGACATGAGAGGCCCGTACACAAAATATTACTGCTCCCCTTTGGTATTTCTGAACCCCAAAATACAATGCTTCAACTTCAACAGAAGTCTTCCTCAGGTCTGACAGGTCTCAAAGTTGAAACATTGTCTTTTTGGGTTCCGCAATAAACCACTGGGGGAGCAGTAATATTCTTGTGTTTGTGTGTGTGTGTGTGTTTGCATATAAGTGCGTGTGTGTGTACCTATGCGTGTGTACATGCCTACCTGTGTGTGTGTGTGTGTGTGTGTGTGTGTAATGTACCTTCTCGTCATGAATCCCAGACACCTGTTCAAAGGTTTTCTCCCCCACCATGACAGCAGCCAGGTTAGCTGTATAACTGGACAGCACCAGCAGACAGAAGATAGCCCACAGGTTCATCAGGAACCTACTGGTCCAACACTTAGGAGTCTGGAGAGGAGGGAGAGAGAGAAAGAGAGGAGGGAGGGAGGATGAGAGAGAACAGAGTATAGAGAGAGACAGAGTAGAAGGACAGAGAGAGAGAGACAGAGATAGAGGAGAGACAGAGAGAGGAGATAGAGAGAGAGAGAGACATAAAGACAGACAGGAATACAGCGAAGACAGAACAGAAAGAAAGAAGACAATTTGTTAATTAGATTCCTCATCTTTGGTATTATGATTATTCAATCCTTCCCTTCCTTCATCCCTCCCCCTCCATCCCTCCCTCAGTACCTTAGTAGCGACAGTGCGTCCAAACAGGATGGCGTAACAGAGGCTGAGGGCTGAGGAGTAGGAGAACACTCTGAGTCTGTTCCTGCCATGAGGAGTCATACCTTGATCAACACAACACAGGAGGAGTCAGGTGTGTGTGTGTGTGTGTGTGTGTGTGTGTGTGTGTGTGTGTGTGTGTGGTGTGTGTGGTGTGTGTGTGGGATCAAAAAGACAAAGAGAGTTGTAAAGGTCCCAACCAACCACAGCTGTGTGTGTAGATGATGACATGGCTGTAAATCATTGCCGTATCCACAGAGATTTAGGTCACAGACAAATAACATGACAGGCCTTGGATGACAGGCCGTAAATGGTATTTTAGTTTTCTCACCAAAGGGACTGTTCCACTCATAGACGGTGAGGAAGAGTGCGGTAAGATGGAGAGTGACGAAGATGCCCACCCACATGGACCAATGGAGAGGCCACATGAAGGCCCCAATAGGGGCTGATGTGTCCTGGCTACGCACCTGGTAGTCAACACACACATACACACACATTATAAACTGTATGCACACACACAGACACACAAACACACACACACCCCTCCTCACTCACCAGTATCCCCAGAGAGGTAGAGTAGAAAGGAGAGGTGAAGTCTATAACTCTGCTCCTGGCTGAGTTGATGGAGAATGATGTCACAGCCATGTCTGCTGTTCCACTCAGCAGGTCTCCCACCTAATATGGGAAGACAGGAATATATACAGCATTCAGAAGACACATCCTATTACACATGCATTTAACAATCCTTCTGCAAACATTGTTCTTGGTTAGGTAAACAGTCATGTAAAATTAGCATGGAATCATATATATTATTGTAAAAAAAAAAAATAAAAAACGATGACAGACAGACAGACAGACAGACAGACACGTACGTACGTACCAGGCCAGTCCACCTGCCAGTGCTGCTCAACGCTCCATACTTCCCGTCTCCCACGATGTAAAGGTCAAAGGTGAACTTCAGGTCCTCTGCCAGCTTCTCCAACAGGTCAATAACGTAACCATAGCAACACTTCCGCAGGTCCTCTGTTGGGTCTGGGGTTGTGGTCAGGTCAGGACAGGAAGGGTTAGTCTTGGTCTACTGGTCTATAGTGATGTAATGTAGGTACAGTGTACTATGTGGAGAAATACTCACTGTGGTCAGTTTTGGTAGTAGTCATATTGGTCTGGTGTAGCTGACTGAACAGCGAGTCCAATCGATCTGAGCGGTTAGTCCTAGGGTCCAGACACAGCTGACCAGCGGGACACAGTCCATCCTCATCCACCTCTCTAGTGAACACAAAGGGATGCTCCACCAGGGTCACGACCCTTAACCTCCGGCCCTCCATCTTTAGCCCCGGCCTCCATCTCCCTCCAGGACTGTTGTCTCTCTCCCTATCCCCTCTCTGGACCCCTAACCCAGACCCGGACCCCGTCCTCCCCCCCAGGCCTAGCCCCAGGCCAGCCCCCAGCCCCAACACCCCCTCGTCCAGCTGTAGGCGCCCGGTGGTCCAGTGGGCCACGGTGACCCAGGACGGCTGGCCAAGAGGACCTCTCTTCAGGCTCCACACGTGGTACAGCTGGGAGGAGAGGACCTGGGAGAGAGCCGGTGCCACGCGGACAGCGCCCGTAGCACCCTGGAACGACGTGTTGGAGAGGAACCTGGAGAGGAGAGAGAAACCGAGAGAGACAGAAAGAGAGTGAGAGACAGAAAGAGAGAGAGAGAGAGAGAGCGACAGAGAGAGAGAGAGAGAGAGAGAGAGAGAGGAAGTTATAGTTTGAACATGTAGACAGATATTGATACCCAGTCTGTTCTTTCAGATTGGCTGGGTGTAATAATTGGTTGGCTGTTCCAGTCAGTCTCATTATTTTAAGTTAATACGGTTTATGCAGAACCGAGAGAAGTTCTGTCTATCTGCCCACGCACATGCACGCATGCAAGCACACACACACACACACCACACACACACACAGGCCTAAAACACACGCATACACACACACAGAGAGTGTTCTTATTACTATGAGTTAATGCAGTTCATTGCGGTTGTTTCTATCTAACTGGCCACACCATCATTACTATTCCTCTGGAATACATTGGTATGCACAATTAACTCTCCCACATAAATCTGCTCTGGGCATCCAACCGTGCGGGGATCGTTGGGTGATGTCTGAATATTAACCATGCATGGATTGTTGGGTCATTGTTTAGTTATTGGCCGATGTTTAGGTTATCGGTTGATCGTTGGGTGATGCCTGGGTGTTGAACCTTCTGAATATTATCAATGCAGGGATCATTGGGTTAAGTCTGAAAGTTAAAATGGTTAATTAAAACTCCTAAAACTGTTTTACATTTCAAAACGCATGCTGTGTGTGTGTATGTACCTGCAGAGTGTGTGTGACTGATGGTGACTTCCTTCCATTAACTCTGACAGCAGAGGAGGAAACATTAAAAGTATGAATTAATACTGAGGTCGTTAACCCACCTCTACCCTCTACTCTGCACTGAATATCAATGTATCTACGGGTGTGTCCTGTTTACAGCCCAACTGACTCATCAGATGTCAGACTGGTTACAGACCTCTCTCTCTCCCTCTCTCCCCTCTCCCTCCTCTCCCTCTCTCCCTCCCTCTCCCTCCTTATCTCTTAAGTTGATTTGGCAGCTGTGTCTATTGACGGGCTGCATGGTCGATCTCACTAAGATAACAACACCCTGTTTTATCTCCTCTCTCCTCCTCCTCCTCCTCCTCCTCCTCCTCTTTCACCCCGCTCCATGTTGTGGGTAGAAGTGTTGTAGTGGAATGTGTTGGTCCAGACAGAATGAAGGCCAAGCGACAGCGTGTATCTTCACACACTCAGTCCCAGGTACCGTACCTTATACCAAGACACAACCCCCACACCACCGCTGAGTTCAAACACTATAGTATTGCACACACACACACACACACACACACACACACACACACACACACACAACACACCACCAACCCACCAAGCACACCACACCACCACCCCACACACCTACCCTCACACCACACCCACTCACACCAGATTCGTAATCTGCTTTTTACCGACACAACTCCAGTTACTCTGAAACAACCTGCTCCCCTCCTCCCTCACCCTGTCCCCCCTATCCTTCTTAGCATCTGGCGTAATTGTTTCCTATCGAACAACTTCACCACACTGTCTTATTAGTAAAACTCTGTCAGACGCAACACTGTCTCTATCTATGTAAAACTGTCAGACGCAACACTGTCTCTATCTATGTAAAACTGTCAGACGCAACACTGTCTCTATCTATGTAAAACTGTCAGACACAACACTGTCTCTATCTATGTAAAACTGTCAGACAACACACTGGCTCTATCTATGTAAAACTGTCAGACACAACACTGTCTCTATCAAAGTAAACTGTCAGACCACACCGGGTCTCTATCTATGTAAAACTGTCAGACCAAACACTGTCTCTATCTATGTAAAACTGTCAGACACAACACTGTCTCTAACTATGTAAAACTGTCAGACGCAACACTGTCCTATCTATGTAAAACTGTCAAAACGCAACACTGTCCTATCTATGTAAAACGTCAGACGAAACACTGTCTCTATCTATGTAAAACTGTCAGACGCAACACTGTCTCTATCTATGTAAAACTGTCAGACGCAACACTGTCTCTATCTATGTAAAACTGTCAGACGCAACACTGTCTCTATCTATGTAAAACTGTCAGACGCAACACTGTCTCTATCCACAGTATGTAAAGCTGTCAGACGCAACACTGTCTCTATCTACAGTATGTAAACTGTCAGACGAAACCCACTGTCTCTATCTACAGTATGTAAAACTGTCAGACACAACACTGTATCTATGTAAAGCTGTCAGACACAACACTGGCTCTATCTATATAAACTGTCAGATGCAACACTGGCTCTATCTACAGTATGTAAAGCTGTCAGACACAACACTGGCTCTATCTACAGTATGTAAAGCTGTCAGACACAACACTGGCTCTATCTACAGTATGTAAAGCTGTCAGACACAACACTGTCTCTATCTATGTAAAGCTGTCAGACACAACACTGTCTCTATCTATGTAAAGCTGTCAGACACAACACTGTCTCTATCTATGTAAAGCTGTCAGACACAACACTGTCTCTATCTATGTAAAACTGTCAAACACAACACTGGCTCTATCTACAGTATGTAAAGCTGTCAGACGCAACACTGTCTCTATCTACAGTATGTAAAGCTGTCAGACGCAACACTGTCTCTATCTACAGTATGTAAAGCTGTCAGACGCAACACTGTCTATATCTTTGTATAGCTGTCTAAAGCTAATCTAGCCACAGTGCAAGGCCTTCAGTCTATCTACAGTCTGTCCAGGTCTGTCTGTGTATTCTCAGGCTTGGCATGGTTTAGAAATGGAACAGGTCCTCTCAGACTCCACTCTATCATCTGGTGTCAGTGGCTGGAGGAGGGCAGAGAGATGTGTTTGTGTGTACAGTGGGGGAAAAAAAAGTATTTAGTCAGCCACCAATTGTGCAAGTTCTCCCACTGAAAAAGATGAGAGAGGCCTGTAATTTTCATCATAGGTACACGTCAACTATGACAGACAAAATGAGAAGAAAAAAAATCCAGAAAATCACATTGTAGGATTTTTAATGAATGTATTTGCAAATTATGGTGTAAAATAAGTATTTGGTCAATAACAAAAGTTTCTCAATACTTTGTTATATACCCTTTGTTGGCAATGACACAGGTCAAACGTTTTCTGTAAGTCTTCACAAGGTTTTCACACACTGTTGCTGGTATTTTGGCCCATTCCTCCATGCAGATCTCCTCTAGAGCAGTGATGTTTTGGGGCTGTCGCTGGGCAACACGGACTTTCAACTCCCTCCAAATATTTTCTATGGGGTTGAGATCTGGAGACTGGCTAGGCCACTCCAGGACTTTGAAATGCTTCTTACGAAGCCACTCCTTCGTTGCCTGGGCGGTGTGTTTGGGATCATTGTCATGCTGAAAGACCCAGCCACGTTTCATCTTCAATGCCCTTGCTGATGGAAGGAGGATTTCACTCAAAATCTCACGATACATGGCCCCATTCATTCTTTCCTTTACACGGATCAGTCGTCCTGGTCCCTTTGCAGAAACACAGCCCCAAAGCATGATGTTTCCACCCCCATGCTTCACAGTAGGTATGGTGTTCTTTGGATGCAACTCAGCATTCTTTGTCCTCCAAACACGACGAGTTGAGTTTTTACCAAAAAGTGCTATTTTGGTTTCATCTGACATTCTCCCAATCCTCTTCTGGATCATCCAAATGCACTCTAGCAAACTTCAGACGGGCCTGGACATGTACTGGCTTAAGCAGGGGGACACGTCTGGCACTGCAGGATTTGAGTCCCTGGCGGCGTAGTGTGTTACTGATGGTAGGCTTTGTTACTTTGGTCCCAGCTCTCTGCAGGTCATTCACTAGGTCCCCCCGTGTGGTTCTGGGATTTTTGCTCACCGTTCTTGTGATCATTTTGACCCCACGGGGTGAGATCTTGCGTGGAGCCCCAGATCGAGGGAGATATCAGTGGTCTTGTATGTCTTCCATTTCCTAATAATTGCTCCCACAGTTGATTTCTTCAAACCAAGCTGCTTACCTATTGCAGATTCAGTCTTCCCAGCCTGGTGCAGGTCTACAATTTTGTTTCTGGTGTCATTTGACAGCTCTTTGGTCTTGGCCATAGTGGAGTTTGGAGTGTGACTGTTTGAGGTTGTGGACAGGTGTCTTTTATACTGATAACAAGTTCAAACAGGTGCCATTAATACAGGTAACGAGTGGAGGACAGAGGAGCCTCTTAAAGAAGAAGTTACAGGTATGTGAGACCCAGAAATCTTGCTTGTTTGTAGGTGACCAAATACTTATTTTCCACCATCATTTGCAAATAAATTCATTAAAAATCCTACAATGTGATTTTCTGGATTTTTTTCCCTCAATTTGTCTGTCATAGTTGACGTGTACCTATGATGAAAATTACAGGCCTCTCTCATCTTCTTAAGTGGGAGAACTTGCACAATTGGTGGCTGATTAAATACTTTTTTCCCCCACTGTATATGTGTGTGTGTGTGTGTGTGTGTATATATGTGTGTGTACAGTATATCTACCTGGCCAGGTACTGTCCAGACGAGGGCACTTCCTCTTTGTTAGGTTTGTCGTAACAGTTGACCAGGTTTTGGATCAGAGCAAGGTCTGGCCTCACCTCACTGGCCGACGTCACCGCCTGGCCAATCAACCGCAGTGCGTCTCGGATGTAGAAGGTGATTGGCTTACGACCCACCTAGACACATACAAACACACTTTAAAATGTGTTTTCAAAGGTCAAATAAAATAAATAAATCAGCCAATCAATGAATCACCCTATCACCCATGCAACCAAATCAATGAATGAATAAATCAACAAATTAATAATCACCTCTCCATAAGCCAATAGGCCGAGGGGCCCGCCCAGCGAGAGGAGAGAGTCAGGTGACAGAGGGTTACCCATAATCCACTGCAGCGTGGGGAACGAGGGAGCGAGACGCTGGGCGCAGCGGAGGACAGAAGAGAGACATTCTGGGTCAGAACCAAGGATGACCACGGAGGAGAGAGGAGAGGCGGAGCGAAGAAGACGACGGGAGAGGAGAGACAAGACCTCAGCTTCCCTCTTGTCTTCTCTGGTCTCATCACTTGTTTCTTCACTTCTCTCAGCCCCTCTTTCCTCCTCCCTTCTCTCTTCCCTCCTCTCCTCCTTCCCTCTCTCCTCCCCTCCTATATGGGAAAGGTTGATGATATCCAGTAGATTCCAGCTTGTTCCTCTCTGTGTCTCTAGATGTTTCAGTAGTCCCTCCCTCCTCTCCTCCCATCCTGGACACACCACAGCGACTCCCCCTCTCCCCCCTTCCTGACCCCTGCCTCCCCCCTCACTTCTCTCTTCACCCTCTGTCTCCCTCTCTACTCCCTGGAGAACAGAGAGCAGAAGGTTGGCCAGGCGAGAGGGTGGAACACGAACTGACATCTGGAGATGGAACTGGTTCTAGGGGGAGAGAGAGAAAGAGAGAGAGAGAAAATAATATTACTAGAACCGAACTTTCATAGAGTGATGTTCATAAATATTTAATGTTGTTGAAAGGCTCCTGAGTGAGCTACCTGCGCTACCATCTTCTAAACTCTACTTTCCAACCATGTCTTGTTGCTTTACGCCTACAGGCAAAGTCAAGGGGATATTGCATATGTATACAGTATCTATGGGTTCAATAAGGAACACACACGCCCACACACACCTTATAAATGTAGATGTCCCAAGACGGAGTCCTTCAGTGTCTTACGGAGCGAGGAAATCTGCTAGCTAGAAGTCTTCAGAGACACGACTGAATTAATACAGTATATATACATATACTCATGGGGGGTGTACAGGTGTGTGTGTGTGTGTATGTGAGATACCATAGTCTTTGAACTCAGCGGGGTGTGGTGGTTGTATGAAAAAGTTGGTGGCTCAGTGTGGGGTGGAACAGTGTATGAAAAATAGAAAGAGAGATTAAGGGATGTGGGATGGGAGGGTGGAGGGGTGGGAGGGATGGAGAGATAGAGGGAGGTCTATTCTGTAAGGTACAGTACCTGGGACTGCTTTTAGCTCCATTGGGAAGGAAATACTACCGCTACCTTGCTTTTAGCTCCATTGGGAAGGAAATACTACCGCTACCTTGCTTTTAGCTCCATTGGGAAGGGAACACTGCTGCTACCTTGCTTTTAGATTCATTAAAATGAATAATCCAGTATATCTTAATACAGAGTGTGATGGCTAACCAACCAGTGTTGTTGTGTAATTATGCTAAACAGCTAATGTTTATTTACTCTTTTACATTTACATTTAAGTCATTTAGCAGACGCTCTTATCCAGAGCGATTTACAAATCCAGAGCGACTCTTAATTTCCTCACGTCTCCAGGCGTTTAATACAATATGCTGGATTTAATATGAATTACATTTAATCACACACACACGTGTACACAAATAGACATACACACACACACACAAGGCTGCAGTGTATGTGGTAAATGGTGTTTATCTCAGTATAACACCCTGCTAGCTCACACAGACCTGCTGATGAGAACAGAGATACACACTACTGGGCTTATAGCCAATCACACACACTTTTAAAATGACTAAATCTTATTTCACACATACACACACTTAATATGTCCAAATATTATTTCACATTATCTCACACACTCGCAATGAAAAAGTCCAAATCTAATTTCACAGTTAATATAGACGGGTGATGTTGTGTTTATTAGATTTGTACCAGTAAAAAATGTATTTAAATACAGGAAAATTACATCCACACACACACACGCACACGCACACACACAACACGAACACGAACACGAACACGAACACGAACACGAACACAACACGAACACGAACACAAACACACACACACACACACACACACACACACACACACACACACACACACACACACACACACACACACACACACACACACACACACACACACACACACACACACACACACACACATCTAGGGTAGTTAGACAGGAGGCCCACGCCTGCCAACAGTGAGTTGAGTCAATTAACCATAAAGACAGTTATTTTCTACAGTAGCGTGTTATAGCCTCATAAAAACACCACTGTTGTCTGACAGAACAGCACACTGACATTACAGACTACCGCTGTCTTTCTCACTCTCTTTCAGCCTCTCTTTCTATCCCTGCGTTGTGTGTGTGTGTGTGTGTGTGTGTGTGTGTGAGAGAGTGTGTGTGTGAGTGTGTGTGTTTGTTCCAAACTATTTCATAAGATATTGTTCTCAGCACAGCTAAACTATAATTTGAATGATCAAGAAGCGGAGAACATTAGCTATTATTTCCCCCCCACAGGCTTTCACAGTTTAACTGGGAAATAGGTTAGTGTGTGACACTAGAGAAGTTTTTATCAGGAAAAATACCAGATATGTTCCCTGTGGTGTGTGTGTATGGTGTGTGTGTTTATCTGATGTGTGTGTGGGGTGTCAATCACTCCACTCTTTGATCCATACAAATTAGATAACACACACACTTAAAATGTCTCACACACTCGCAATGAAAATGTCCAAATCTAATTTCACAGTTAATATAGACGGGTGATGTTGTGTTTGTTAGATTTCTAGCAGTAAATAAATAAATGTAAATGTGAGTCATTATTATAGTCATGTTCATGATGGAAACAGCAGTCAGTCTAGCCATGATGGATTTAAGATCAAACAGCAGAGAAAGCATACAAAAACGCATGAAGGCACACACACACACACGAGCAATAATATTCTGATTGCCAGTGTAATCTCATTGCCAGTGTGAGTCATCAGTGTGCATCCTGCATAAACGATGTATATGATTACATTATATATATTACTACATTACTATAACCACCATCACTCAGTCGGAGAAGAAGAGATGAGGTGTACAGATGTAGGATCTTACTTTGAGCCACATTGCTACAGCAGGAAAAAAAATCCTGCAGCAATTATTATGTGGAGTATCCTGCAAAAGGGTGATCAAATTAAGATCCTACACCTGTAAGTGGAATACAGAGCTCTACCTCCTGCTCTTGTTATCCTCTCTCTCTCTCTCTCTCTCTCTCTCTCTCTCTCTCTCCTCTCTCTCTCTCTCTCTCTCTCCTCTCTCCCCTCTCTCCGCTTCTCCATCTCTCTCCCCTCTCCTCTCTCCTCTCATCATCTCTCGTCATCTCTCTCTCTCTCTCTCTCATATACTAAACAATAACAGTAATGTAGCACTATGTGGTAAATCAGCTCTATGTATCCAGAGTTCAGTGAAGCCTGTAGACTCACCCAACACACCCTGAGGGATACACTGAAAGCTCCTTTCCATAAAATGAACTACTGGATTGCCAGGACATCCTTTATTGTTGTCAAACTGAACAGCGGGTTGGCTGAACTCTGTATGGAACAGTGGTAAATAACCTGGGGGTTTGTGGTTCACAGTGTGTATGTGTGTGTGTGTCACTGTATGTGTGTTTCATAGTGTTTCTGTCAAAGAGTGTAATGAACTCTAGCAGGGGTCTCATTTGATCACCGGCAACAGTGATAATGTAATGTCAACGTGCGTGTGATGTCATTACTGCTACCCCCACTGGGAGTATCACAGGAAACAGGAGGGAACAGGGTTGCATATTTATTTACTACACCCCAGGACACACTATACTGCCTAATGAGGTGTCTGGAGCTTTTGGGGAGGTTTGGGTGTTTATTTGTGTGTGTGTGTGTGTGTGTGTGTGTGTGTGTGTGTGTGTGTGTGTGTGTGTGCATGCGAGTGTGTGTGCGGATGTGTGTGTGTGAGGGATATTTCTGCTAGACTTCCTAATAAAAATGATCCCTCTTTTTCCGTCGAGTCAGACACTTAGGAGTAATGTAATAAACCAGAAAGATGGGAGTCATTTTGGGACTTGTGTGTGTGTGTGTGTGCGCGTGTGTGTGGCAAATGACCTGCCCTGATTCAACCTATCAGCAGAGTTCTCCACCCTAAATACCCATCATCCATATCTGTTAAAGAGAAATGAGAGGGGAGAGAGAAGGAGAGAGAAAAGAGAGAGAGAGATGAAAGGAGAGAGAAAGAGATGAAAGGAGAGAGAAAGAGATGAAAGGAGAGAGAAAGAGAGAGATGAAAGATAGATGAAAGGAGAGAGAGAGAGATGAAAGGAGAGAGGGATGTGGAGAAAGGAGCGAGAGATGCAAGAGAAGAAGAGAGATGACAGGAGAGGAAGAAGCTGAAAGGTAGAGAGAATGAATAGATATGACATAAGAGATGAAAAGGAGAGAGAGAGATAGAGATAGCTGAATAAGATATCTGATTAAAAGAGATTTAAAGTAAAAAGAGTCTATTCGAAGAGATGCGAGTCTCTCTGCACTTTCGCTCTCCCTGCTTTCGTCTCTCGCTCTTCTCTCTCGCTGACTGGTCTGTCTCTCTTTATCGGAAACACATAGACTAGATTTAAAAGTGAGGTGATGGTGTGATATTAGATTTAACTTGATCATTGGCCATTTTGTGACAAACTGCCTTTGTTCTTCAGAAATGTAGCTCTGTGATGTTCAATCATATATGATATAACTGGGTTGATTAAAGGCCGTTTGAGGGGAAGATGTGTGTTCAGTATTGCATTACAGATAAGATTCTCCTGTTTAGGTCAAATTCTATGGAAAAACTCCTGGCCCTAACGATGAACTGTTATGAGAGCCTGATTGTTGAAAAGGTTTTGAGTGCTTGATTTATCTGTCATTAACCACCTACACAGGATGAATTATTCAAATTATGACAATATATTCATTTAAGAGGAGGAGCATAACTCTGTCCTTATCATTTTGAGACAGAGACACCAAAGTGGTCCAGACCAGAGGAGAGATTTCAACACTTCAGATCACAGACACGTTTCAAGAACAGAGAAACAAACACAAAGTAGTCCTCTATCCCTGACTGAGAAGACTGAACTCAAAGTCACAACTCATTTAGCTTCAAAATCAATTGCTTATGGGAGATCTTTCTCAGTGTGTGTGTGTGTGTGTGTGAAGGAATGAATGTGTGTGTGCGTCAGCGCTCAGCAGGGCCTGAGACAGAATGTTAGTGTATGAAATGTCAGATAATGTATTCAAGATTAACGATCATATTCATCATATCACATGTTTAATTAACTGGAATTAGATTATCATCTCTCTGGGATCTCATCTACATAGTAAGTAGGCTGAAACATTCAGGTAGCTGGCGTGTGTGTGTGTTCTGGAGATTGTCAGATCTTTCTACGCAGAATATTTAAACGTGTGAATTCATGATACTTTCTGCCTGCTTGTGTTACAAACTTCATCCACAACAAAGTGTGAAGTACTGAACATAAGGAGGGAGGGACAAAACACAATCAGCAGCACTGTCACTTTATTTCTCAGAAGTTAGCTACCTGACAACCACTCTCCTCTCCTCTCCTCTCTTCCTCCTCTCCTCTACTCACTTCTCCTCTCCTCTCCTCTCCTCTCCTCTCCTCTCCTCTCCTCTCCTCTCCTCTCCTCTCCTCACTTCTCCTCCTCTCCTCCTCCTCCTCACTTCTCCTTTATTCTCCTCTCCTCTCCTCTCAGCTCTGTGCTTTTCTGATAATGTGATTTCATGCGAAAATTCATTCCTCATGTGTGTTGTGTGTGTTTGTCTCTGACATTTTCACGCTGTCTGCTCAAAGTGAAAGGTGTTTGGTGGCGTGAGGCGATGGGAGAAACATTGGCAGGTGTGCTTGCATGCATGTGTGTGTGTGTGTGTGTGATTGTGTGTGTGGGATTAAGTGTGTCTGACTGGCAGAAATGATTCTCAAGTGAACTGCATATGGTTCCGGGGCGGCAGGTAGCTTAGTGGTTAAGAGCATTGTGCAGGTAGCTTAGTGGTTAAGAGCATTGTGCAGGTAGCTTAGTGGTTAAGAGCGTTGTGCAGGTAGCTTAGTGGTTAAGAGCGTTGTGCCAGTAACCGAAAGGTCGCTGGTTCTAATCCCCGAGCCGACTAGGTGAAAAATCTGGTGATGTGCCCTTGAGCAAGGCACGTAACCCTAATTGCTCCTGTAAGTCGCTCTGGATAAGAGCGTCTGCTAAAATGTAAGTGTAGAGTAACATTTGGCACTACCAACATTTTACATGCTTCAGAGAGAGAGAGAGAGAGAAAAAATATATATGTCTTCAGTGAGAAGACCTTTAAAACTGACGACACAGACAGAATGACATTCACAGAACACAACATCTGACATTCCATTCTGACTGTGGATGTTGTTTGTCCAACTAGCAGGTGGATATAATGTAGTCACTGGTATCAGTTGGTCAGCCAGGAGAGAATCAGACAGTCAGTTATAGGTCTGTTGAATGCAGAGCAGACACAGTGAAATAGTTCATTCTATACTAGGAGGTCCACACAGTACTGACAACTCTGTTTTCTCCTTGTTAGTTAGTTGATTAATGCTGTTAAGATTAGAGAGGAAGGATGCAGTCCGGGGGTGGAATTGTATCCACTGTGAATTAGTGACAGAAAGCTAAAACGCAGGCACGCACACACACACACACACACACACACACACACACACACACACACACACACACACACACACACACACAGACAGACAGACACAGACGCAGCAGGCTAAAATAACTCTAAGGCTCTGATAAATGACAAAGAAAAACCTTCAGAGAAGTAAAAATAAAGAATAATAATATGAATCCTGTTGTTTCTCCTCTATGTCTGGACCACCGTAGGAGAAACTATTGAGATTTGAGTCTCTCTGCAACACCAGGTAGACATGGGAAATGAGAGAAGGAGGAAATGGGAAAGGTTTGGAATAGTAATGAACGTTTATCAGACACACACACACACACACACACACACATACACACACACAGTCAGAGAGTCACCCAGTGTAGCATGGTCTGACAGATGGAATTACACACCCTTATAACCCTGTCTCCACATACACACTCCGACCGTAACACAGCAAGCCTCCAGTGCAGAAGCGACAGCCGACTTTCTAGGCCTCAGACAAGGTTATACATTTCCAAAAGTACTCCCAGCTTTCTGACAGGAGAGACTGTGGATATGACGGTATCATTTGACTAACTTCCATAATGCATTAAATGATAATGGAATTAATTTAGAATGGTTGTGTCTCAAATGGCTCCCTACTCTTCGTAACTACTGCACCACTTCTGACAAGGGACACAAAAGGCTGCAAAAACCGGACTCTGGCTAAACGCAGGGCACTACAGTAGGGAATAGGGCTCTGGCCAAGAGTAGTGTACTGTAGGGAATCAGTGTCATTTGAGACGTGGACGTGTTTTTAGTGTTTCACGTATCAAAGTGATTTGAATGTCTCTGCTTCAAGGATACTTGATTGAATCATAAAAATGAGAGATGATTGTTGGAACATCACTGCAGATTCCTCCCTCCCTCCATCTCTCTATCCCTCCCTCTCTTTCTATCTCTCTCTCCTCCTCTCTCCTCTCTCTCCTCTCTCTCTCTCTCTCTCCTCCCTGTCTTCTCTGAGGAGTCTTATCCTGCCAAAACAGTAGTTCCGTCCCAAACTGTCAGATAACACACCACAAAACACACACAAAGTCCCCTCAAATCACACAACAGTCCACAACCTTTTGCAGGCGAGCACGAACACAAACACTGCCAAAGCTACTCTCAGAGGATAAGTGATAGTGATAATTAAAAAAGTTTATTCAGAGAGTTTTAAAAAAGGAGTAAAACAGAAGTTATGAACAACAAGGGGCCCTTAACTGACAAAAAAGAAAGAGAGAATTTTGAGGCTGGGGAGAATAGAGAAAGAGCGGGAGAGCCGAGAAGAAGAGACGAGAAGGGGGATCGCTCGGTGGTTCTTCCCCGTCTCTTTTAATTACCTCTTAAAAGCCGCGCTTTGTTATCTTTCCCTCGTTTTCTCTTTTAAACTCCGGGTCTCCTCTTCCCCCCTCTCTCGTCCCCCCTTTCGCCTTCTCTCCCCCGCGCATCCTTCCCTCTCTCCCTCTTCTCTCCCTCCTCTTCCCTCTCCCTCTTATTCCTATTTTCCCCCTTCTCCCTCTCTCCTCTCTCTCTCTCTCCCTCCCCTCTCGTCTCTCTCTCTCTCTCTCTTCCCCCTCTCTCTCTCTCCCCCTCCTCCCCCTTCTCTCTCTCCTCCTTTTCCCCCTCTCTTTCTTCCCCCCTCTCTCTCTCCTCCTCTCTCTCGCTCTCTCCGCCCTCTTTTCCCCCTTCCCCGCCTCCTTTTCCTCGCTCCCCCTCCCTTTTCCCCCTCCTTTTCCCCCCCTCTCTCCCCTCTCCTTTTCTCCCCTCCCCCCCTCTCTCTCTCCTTTCCGTCCCCTAACCCCTAATTTTTCCCCTTTTCCCCTCCTCTCTACTCTTTAAATTTTCCCCTTTTTCCTCAAATACCCACTTATGCAAATATACCCTCTCTTTTGTCTAGATAGTGTGTGTGTGTTGGCTGTCTCTCTCTCTATTGAATCATATTATGGACTGCGATCAATCTGAGCACTCAGCAATGCTGCTATTGTCTGTCAGCCAGTTAGTTTACATTCAGATCTAAAGCAACAATACCATGAAATACGTAAAGCAACATTACTCTGAGAGATGTAAAGCAACAATACTCTGATAGGTGTAAAGCAACAATACTCTGATAGATGTAAAGCAACAATACTCTGAGAGATGTAAAGTAACAACAATACAATACTTGTCGGTATTCTGTCTCCATACAATGCCTAAATAGATTCTCTGATGTCATAGAGAATGTGTTTTGTATAAAACATTACAGTACAAATACATCATAGACAGACAGTGTGTGTGTGTGTGTGTCTGTGTGTCTCTGTGTGTGTGTGTGCGTGCTTGCGTGTGTGTGTGTGTGTGTGTGTGTGTGTGTGTGTGTGTGTGTGTGCATATAGTTGGGGTTTCCAGACTCCCCTGTGGATCTCCAGAGTTAAGCAGTTGTCTGGTTGTGAAGGACAATCTGAGAGAACATCTGGAACACCATGACTCACACAACTTCCCTCCCTCCTCCCCCTCTCCTCTTCCTCCTCCCCCTATCTCACTCTCTCCATCTGTCTCCCCTCTCTCCTATAAACACCAGATCAGATGTGAATAAGAATGGGATGTTTCTCAGCCTCAGTCAGCACAAACACACCGAGACACACTGAGACAAGCTTTATCTCTCTCCCCACTCATAAATACCCATATACAGGTCTGTGTACAGACCTTTCAAGGGACAGGGGCTCAAAATACTCCCCCCATGCTTAAAAACAAATCCACTTCCATAATTAATTTCTCGAAATTCGATTTTCGAGCATAGGCCTATTTATGTCTGCAACAACAGATTGTAAACAAACACAATGCCTCCTAAAGAGATGATTGACAAGAGGATGGTCTATAGCTGGCTGGCTATTGGCTTGTGTGGATATTTGAGTATATAGTGGTTATCTAGTGTAGTCTACCTGTGTTGCTGCTGCCCTGACACACGTGCAACTCCCGACTGAAGAAGGGATGGAGTTGGGTCGGAGGGTCGTTGATGCAGCCGCACCTCTCTATGTCTTTCTGTCTCTCTCTGCTGCTCGTATCAGCCAATCAGACCCAATATTGATGATGATGTAACTCAAGTATTATAATCAAATGTTATGCTGCTGTGGCAGTCCTGTTGATATTTAAACTAGGTCACTAGCTACACACACTCGACCAGTGACCGCATCTCAAGCCATGTTTGGATACCGGGCGTGCTCAATCTCTGTACCGGGCAGACAGGGAAACAGGCGCAACCTGGGCGTGCGCGAGCTCCGCACAGGGCAGACCAACAGGCGCCACCAATGGACGGGGTGGGGGGTAGTGAACTTGACGACATCACGCCGACTTGCGGGCAGTGGGTTTAGAACAACAATGAAAAAAAACAGTATACAAAAAAAAAAAAAAAATATATATATATATATATATATATATATATATATATATATATATATATATATATATATATACCACCACATAAAAGGGCACTTGCTGAGTGGAAGGGCAAAGAGGCATGTGCTCAGCACAGGTAGACTCCTTTCCCCCATCCCTTCCTGCAGCACTCTAACTAACCAGGATGAAGGAATGAAGACCAGACTATTATTTACTTAGTTGTTTAGGTTGTTATTGTTGTTTTATAGGTCTCTTATTTTTCCTTCCTACACCATCCATTCTTATATGTATATGTATTTAGATAGGGCTATGACATTATTCAGATAGGGCTATGACATTATTTAGATAGGGCTATGACATTGTTTAGATAGGGCTATGACATTGTTTAGATAGCCCTATGACATTGTTTGTTTAGATAGCCCTATGATATTGTTTATTAAGATAGCCCTATGACATTGTTTATTTAGATAGCCCTATGACATTGTTTATTTAGATAGCCCTATGACATTATTTCGATAGCCCTATGACATTATTTCGATAGCCCTATGACATTATTTCGATAGCCCTATGACATTATTTAGATAGCCCTATGACATTATTTAGATAGCCCTATGACATTATTTAGATAGCTCTATGACATTATTTAGATAGCTCTATGACATTATTTAGATAGCCCTATGACATTATTTAGATAGGCCTATGACATTATTTAGATAGCCCTATGACATTATTTAGATAGCCCTATGATATTATTTATTTGGATCTCCTGTCTAACTACCCTAGCTGTGTGAGTGTGTGAGTGTGTGTGAGTGTGTGTGTGTGTGTGAGTATGTGTGTGTGTGTGTGAGTGTGAGTGTGTGTGTGTGTGAGTGTCTTTGAAGGCCCAGCACTAGGGAACAGTACCTCCATTCATTCATTATCAGGGTTTGAGGATTAAATGTGATTACATTCAGAGAGACTAAATGAGCTTTTTAATGTTCTAGTCTTCTATTTCTACAGTGAGGGAGGGAGGAGGGGAAGAATGAGAGAAAATTAAAGAGTGCTGGATGGACAGATCACAGCGGAGGAGAGTTAGTCCTCAACAAACAATGAAATCTAATCATAACAACAGCAAAATAGAAGTATCATGATTAGCTCAGCATGTGACCTGCCCAAAAACAACTCCAAACCTTAGTTAGAGGCATAGAGATAGATAGACGACTCATCTTTGTATCTGTGCCATTATAGCATCTGTGACAGCATGGGCAGCACCATTCAGGCTATCTCCATTTTGAAGTAGTACATTTTTTTCTTCATGATTGGCTGATCCTGATGTCCCGGTTGGACATGACTCCAACAGGGTCACCAGGAGGGATCAGCCAATGAAGTGGGAAGTCCCACCCAGTTGACTACATTAAAATGGTGGAAGCCCTCAATGGCGCTGCCCATGCTAAAACGGCCTTTTGGCCACTAGAGGCCTCTATCATCCTCTATGGTTACAGGTTGTGTCCCAAATGGTACCCTATTCCCTATAGCGCACTTTTAGGGAGCCATTTGGGACGCAGGCATAGGCTATTTATAGACTAGCCAAAGCACCTGTAATGATACTGATGCTGAAAAAAACACTATCTCCTCCTCTCCTCCATCATCTCCACTTTTTCTCTCCACTTTCCTTCTCTCCTCCATCTTCTTCTCTTTTCCTCTCCTCTCCCCTCCCCTCATCCTCCCTTCCCCTCTATCCTCTCCACTCCTCCCCTACATCCTCTCCTCCGTCAGTGTGATTTATTTATTCAGGTCGTTCTATCATTGTAATTATCTAAAGTACATTAGGAGGAATTATCACTCTCATCTGCCAAGTCACACACTTCTGGGTGTGTAGGTCTGTACATTCACACACACACACACAAATACAGACAGACAGACAGGCACACAGACAGTCTTAATGCAACCACCTCTACCCATGTATCCGTTAGTCTGCTACTGCTACATGCCTCCCTCTCTGGTTCCAATACTCATATAATACTCTCTGTTAACATAAACGACATTAATATACCCTCATCCATATCTATGCCCATCCTTCATCATCTCCTCCCTCTCTCTTCCCCTCCTCCCTCTCTCTTCCCTCCTCCTCATCTCCTCCCTCTCTCTTCCCCTCCTCCTCATCTCCACCCTCTTCTGTAGCCAGAACTAGACAGAGTTCAGTTCTGAATGGTTCATTTCTCCCACAGCATAACAGATAACACTATATTCAGCCTAGTCCTCCCTCCTTCTCTCTCCCTCTCTCTTTCTCTCTCAACCCCCCCCCCCCTCTCTTCCCTTCCTCACGCTCCTCTTTCTCTCCATCTCTCTGACTGGCTCTCTCTCTTTCTTCCCACCACAGTCATTCTCTTGAGTGCTGAGCCGGTGTGTGTGTGTGTGTGTGTGTTTGTATGTGTGTGTGTGAGTGTGTGTGTGTTGCAGTTGGCTGCTCAGCCGTAGAGAGGAGGATATGGCTGAGACGAGAGTGACTGACTGGCACACAGATTAGGCTGCCACTAGGAATACTAACACACACACACACAATCGCTCCGTCTGTAAAGATATTAAACTAATCCATTAGGTACTAGAAATACAGAGAGTTTATTATATGTCTAGCCCACAGGCCATTCTGTCAGGACTAAACACTGATCAGACATTGCCTATGTGTTACAAGAACAAGTCTCTCTCTCTCTCTCTCTCTCTCTCTCTCTCTCTCTCTCTCTCTCTCTCTCTCTCTCTCTCTCTCTCTCTGCCCTCCATTAATGATATAAAAGGCATTTCACTGTGTCATACCTTAGCTTTGAGAGGCTCTGAGTCCTACCTCTGAGTGGTTCTAGGTCCTCCAGTAAAGGGTTCCTATACCTTAGCTCTGAGTGGTTCTAGGTCCCATCTTAGCTCTGTGGTTCTAGGTCCTACATAGGCTCTGAGTGGTTCTAGGTCCATCCTTTGTTCTTAGTGTTTCTAGGTCTTACCTTAGCTCTGAGTGGTTCTAGGTCCTACCTTAACTCGGAGTGGTTCTAGGTCCTCCAGTAGTGATATAAAAGGTATTTCCAGGAAGGAGGACAGGAAGTCGATGTGGATGAGCTCCTCTGGTGAACGAGGAAATGCCAGGACACCTGTCACCCCTTGGACCACCAGCTCCTGACACACACACCTGGACAGGGAGACAGGGTCGCCTCCAGACGGGGACCGAGACACCACCTGGAGACAGGGAAGGGAGAGAGTGTCTGACATTACACCCTATTCCATATAAGTGTAGGAAGTATGAAAAAAAAATGTATGCACTCAACTAACAGTAAGTCGCTCTGGATAAGAGCGTCTGCTAAATGACGTAAATGTAAAATGAATAGGGTGTCATTTCAGACGCAATCTAAGTGACTGAATGGCTAGTTGCCAATTGAATGAATGGATGAATTAATGTCTATGGATGGATGGATGAACCACATGAGAGCATTACAGAGACATTCCTTATTTCATGAATGAACTAATGAATAACTGAATGAACCTGTTACCTCCAGGGTGAGGTTGTAGGGCAGAAGAGGCGGGTTGCCGTCTCCACTCCGGTGCTTCAGGCTGGTCAAGGCTCTGTTCAGAGCGTTCTGTAGCCTGGCTGGTTGTCCGGTGGGAAGCAGAGCACCGAGACGAACCGTGTGTCCGATCCGAGCCAGGATGTGACATGGCTGGGGGTGGGAGAGGCACGGGTCGGGATGGAGGACGAAGCCATGGAGGAAGACCAACAGCGGGAGAAATCTCCCGGTGAAAAAGGGAGATGGGAGAAGTCTCTTGGGTATAGAGTAGTTGCACATCCATCGACCAAGTAGAGAAAAATAATCCATTGTGTTGCTCCGAAAGACAAGCGTGGAGAGAAGAGGAGAGGAGAAAGCATCGCGCCTTAATTTATTTTTCTTACTTGTGGCTCGTGCTTTCTTGTCTTGGAGTTGTTTTGCTTTTAATACTGAAGTCCAGCTGTTGTTGTTGTTGTTGTTGTTGTTGTTGTTGTTTTCTCTCTTTAAGTTGAAACAAAGAAAGAAAAGACACGCTGTATATATTCTAGAGGAAAGAAAGATAGGAGAAACGTCCGCACGTCAGAAAAACGCATCTTTCTCTCTTTTCCCCTCTTTTTTTCGTTTCCCCTTTGGACTTGTTGTTTTCCTGCATTACGCTGGTATTGCAATCCGGTTGCTGTCTCTCTGTTTCTTTTTCTAAGTTAGGCTACTCATAAATAAATAATAAGGAAGGCAGAGGAACGCTTGATATCGACGGAGGACGAGAGGGGAGCGCGTGCAACTGAGAACATTCGCCCGGCTTCTGTCAGTCTGTGACATGCGCCGGTTGAAGGCAGACCAGCTGCCCGCGCGCACGCGCGTGAGTGTGTGTGTGTGGCACTACTACTACATGAGATTTCTAACAGCGCTGTTATCTTCCCATTCGAAATAACAACTCTACTTTTTGTTCTCCACGTTTCATCTTGATGTCGATACTAGCCTGCTGTTTTAGCCTGCAGCTTGCCGTCAAGCCCATTCAGTGCATTTTAGCCAACGAACCATTATATAGCGTTCACTTTAATCCCCTTCACATTTTCACCATCCTAATTCAGATTCTAAATCCACACAAAGTCTTTGATGTTTCATTCGAAAAATAGTCTACTGACTGATAAGGATTCTCCCCAATTCATTCATGTTTTGTTTCATTGGGCAAGTAGGGAGGGATAATGGAAAGGAGAGGGAGAAAGGAAGAGAAGGAGGGAGGATGGAGGGAGGGAAAGAGAGAAGGAGGGAGGATGGAGGGAGGGAAAGAGAGAAGGAGGGAGGATGGAGGGAGGGAAAGAGAGATGGAGGGAGGATGGAGGGAGGGAAGAGAGAGGAGGAGGAGGAGGGAGGGAAAGAGAGAGGGAGGGAAAGAGAGATGGAGGGAGGATGGAGGGAGGGAAAGAGAGAAGGAGGGAGGATGAGGGAGGGAACGAGAAAAGGAGGGAGGTTGGAGGGCGGGAGGGAAATAGAGATGGAGGGAGGATGGAGGAGGGAAAGAGAGATGGAGGGGAAAATGGAGGGAGGGAAGAGAAGAATGGAGGGAGGATGGAGGGAGGAAAGGAGATGGAGGGAGAGGAGGGAGGGAAAAGAGAGAAGGAGGGAGGATGAGGGAGGGAGAAAGAGAGATGGGAGGAGGAGGGAGAGGAAAGAGAGATGGAGGGAGGAAGAGGGAGGGAAAGAGAGAAGGAGGGAGGATGGAGGGATCGGGGAACGGAGAAGAGGAGGGAGGGAAAGAGAGAAGAGGAGGATGGAGTAAGGGAAGAGAGAAGAGGGAGGATGGAGGGAGAGGAAAGAGAGAGGAAAGAGAGATGGAGGGAGGGGATGGAGGGAGGGAAAAAGAAGGAGGGAGGATGAGGGAAGGGAAGAGGAGAAGGGCGTGAGGATGGAGGGCGGGAGGAAAGAGAGATGGAGGGAGGATGGAGGGAGGGAAAGAGAGATGGAGGGAGGATGGAGGGAGGGAAAGAGAGAAGGAGGGAGGGATAGAGGGAGGATGGAGGGAGGGAAAGAGAGAAGGAGGGAGGGATGGAGGGAGGGAGGATGGGAAGGAAGGAGCAGAGAAAAAGTCATTTCCAGATGATAACAGATGGACACATAGTTCTATTCTATCTGGTGGGTGCTGTCCAAGGTGCTGAAATTCCCAGTAGCAGCCACAGTTTCTGCACCAAAGTTCAGTGTGTGTACAGTGAGGGAAAAAAGTATTTGATCCCCTGCTGATTTTGTACGTTTGCCCACTGACAAAGACATGATCAGTCTATAATTTTAATGGTAGGTTTATTTGAACAGTGAGAGACAGAATAATAATAAAAATAATCCAGAAAAACGCATGTCAAAAATGTTATAAATTGATTTGCATTTTAATGAGGGAAATAAGTATTTGACCCCTCTGCAAAACATGACTTTGTACTTGGTGGCAAAATCCTTGTTGGCAATCACAGAGGTCAGATGTTTCTTGTAGTTGGCCACCAGGTCTGCACACAGCTCAGGAGGGATTTTGTTCCACTCCTTTTTGCAGATCTTCTCCAAGTCATTAAGGTTTCGATGCTGACGTTTGGCAACTCAAACCTTCAGTTCCCTACACAGATTTTCTATGGGATTAAGGTCTGGAGACTGGCTAGGCCACTCCAGGACCTTAATGTGCTTCTTCTTGAGCCACTCCTTTGTTGCCTTGGCCTTGTGTTTTGGGTCATTGTCATGCTGGAATACCCATCCACGACCCATTTTCAATGCCCTGGCTGAGGGAAGGAGGTTCTCACCCAAGATTTGACGATACATGGCCCCGTCCATCGTCCCTTTGATGCGGTGAAGTTGTCCTGTCCCCTTAGCAGAAAAACACCCCCAAAGCATAATGTTTCCACCTCCATGTTTGACGGTGGGGATGGTGTTCTTGGGGTCATAGGCAGCATTCCTCCTCCTCCAAACACTGCGAGTTGAGTTGATGCCAAAGAGCTTGATTTTGGTCTCATCTGACCACAACACTTTCACCAAGTTCTCCTCTGAATCGTTCAGATGGTCATTGGCAAACTTCAGACAGCCCTGTATATGTGCTTTCTTGAGCAGGGGAACCTTGCGGGCGCTGCAGGATTTCAGTCCTTCACCGCGTAGTGTGTTACCAATTGTTTTCTTGGTGACTATGGTCCCAGCTGCTGTGAGATCATTGACAAGATCCTCCCGTGTAGTTCTGGGCTGATTCCTCACCGTTCTCATGATCATTGCAAATCCATGAGGTGAGATCTTGCATGGAGCCCCAGGCTGAGGGAGATTGACAGTTATTTTGTGTTTCTTCCATTTGCGAATAATCGTACCAACTGTTGTCACCTTCTCACCAAGCTGCTTGGCGATGGTCTTGTAGCCCATTCCAGCCTTGTGTAGGTCTACAGTCTTGTCCCTGACATCCTTGGAGAGCTCTTTGGTCTTGGCCATGGTGGAGAGTTTGGAATCTGATTGATTGATTGCTTCTGTGGACAGGTCTCTTTTATACAGGTAACAAGCTGAGATTAGGAGCACTCCCTTTAAGAGTGTGCTCCTAATCTCAGCGCGTTGCCTGAATAAAAGACACCTGGGAGCCAGAAATCTTTCTGATTGAGAGGTGGTCAAATACTTATTTCCCTCATTAAAATGCTAATCAATTTATAACATTTTAGACATGCGTTTCTCTGGATTTCTTTGTTGTTATTCTGTCTCTCACTGTTCAAATAAACCTACCATTAAAATTATAGACTGATCATTTCTTTGTCAGTAGGCAAACGTACAAAATCAGCAGGGGATCAAATACTTTTTTCCCTCACTGTATGTGTGTGTGTGTGTGTGTGTGTGTGTGTAACGACACCTGTAATCGTCCGTTTTCAGTCACAACTGAAAGTCTTGTCTGACAGGTCTCAAATGGGCCGTGTTCTGATTCATTACACCCGTCTGACACTCACACTCACACACACGCACACGCACGCACGCACGCACACACACTCGCACACTCACAGCTTTGTCTGAACTCTCCCCTGATCACAATAGACGGCTGACCTAGCAGGGTGTGAACTGTCTTGTAGATCCAGTAACAGGTGTGTGTGTGTGTATGGGCGTGTGTGTGTGTGCATGCATGAGTGCATGGGTGTGCAGCATTTGCGTGTGCCTGTTCTTGCATGTGTGTGTATGTGTGTGTGAGTGTGTGCGTGTGTGTGTGTGCGAGTGTGTGTGTGTGTGTGTGCGCGTGTGTGTGTGTGTGTGAGTGTGTGCGTGTGCACTCACACCTCTCCCCTGTTGTGAAGTCTGAACACCATCACCTTACTTCTGGATCTGTTGTCACTGTTGTCGTCTGGGACAAAAGCTGAGGTTGCCGTTAACAACCCACCCCACTATAAATCTATCTGTACTTACACAATCTACTGCATGTGTTCCTGTTCTCTGCTGCCAGCAGCCCTGTCCTCTGTTGATTACTAATGTCTGATGGGAGGGATTCATAGAAAGAGTACGGATTAAACATGAATCAAAAAGGCAATTAATATAGAGATGTATCTAAGCAGGATTAACACAAACACACACACACACATCCTTACACCTCCAGTCTCCTCTGTCTCTATGTACTTCTGTGTGTGTGTGTGAATTTCAGTGAGCTGTGCGTTAGTATTCCTGTCACAGTGCTAAAGCTGCTAATATCACCTCCTATCACACAACTAGATAAAGAGCAGGACGGAGGAGGAGGAGAGGGAGGGAGGAGGAGGAGAGGGAGGGAGAGAGAGGGAGAGGAAGGTGGGATACCCTATGGGCTCAGGTCAAAAGTAGTGCACTACATAGCGAACAGGGTAACATTTGGGACGCAAGTGAGGTGATTCATGGTATGTGATATAGTTTACGATAGAGGCTGCAGAGGTGTAGACTAGAGGTGCTGTATAGAGGACTGAGTGTCTAGAAACCTAATGAATAGCAATAAATTTCCTGTGTTGGAACACCCCCTCTTTTTTTCACATGAATAGAAAAATATTGGGATACATAATCTCCTTCTGACCTCATCTCTCTCTTTACCCTGGCTTAAAAGAGACAGATCATGCAAATTTGTTTGCTATATTTCTACAATCAAGAACTACGAATTAGTACGGAACGAGAGGCAGGGCAGAAATATCAAATTTTGCGTAGTGAGTAGCGCAGGATTGAAGAGAGGAATAGTGTCAAAGATATAGGTAGGAGAGAGGAAAGAGTAGGAGAGAAGAGGGGGAAGAAGGAGAGGAAGAGAGAAAAAAAAAAAAGATGAAGAACAGTAGAGAAGGGGGAAGGGGAAAATAGAGGAGAGAAAAAGGGGGGGGGGGGAAGGGGGGGGG